CGCCGGGCCCTCCGCTCCGGCCCCGAGCCGCTCCGCCGCTCCTCCCGGCGGGGAGGCCACGGCCGCGGCTCCTGGCGTTCTCAGGGGCTCGGGACGCCTCCGCTCCACTGTCCTCAAGATGACCGAAGCCCTGCCATCTTCACGTCGGATCCCGAAGGCTTGTCTCGGGGGTGTCTTTCCGCTGGGGTGGGGGCAGCATGTGCAGAAAAGCCCCGACTTGCGACCTGAGCCGCACAGCTCCACTTGCCGACGGCATCGCGGGCGGTTCTCCGGTATTCGCTACGGTCCGTGCTCCACCCAGCGGCCACTGCCTGAACTTCAGCCTCCGGCCCCGCCCGGGCCCGTGTCGGGGCTCAGCGCCGCGGCGCGGGGCGCCTCGCGCGCGGGGACCCCGGGGTCGCCGAGTTTCCCTCTCCGGGGGCGGGCGGGGCAGCCATGCTCCTGTCGCGGGGTGAACCCCCGGCGCTGGAATGGTTCATGGTGCAGACGAAATCGAAGCCTCGGGTGCAGCGGCAGCGCCTACAAGTGCAACGCGTCTTCAGGGTCAAGCTGAACGCCTTTCAGAGCCGTCCCGACACCCCCTACTTCTGGCTGCAGCTCGAGGGGCCCCGGGAGAACACGAGCAAAGCCAAGGTAAACAGCGCCCCCACCCCTTCCATTTTGTTCTCCTCTCCTTTCTCCTCGGGCCGCAGAGGTTCCCAGATGTGCCCGACCTGGATTCGGCAGTTTGGCTTGCAGGTACTGGGACGTCCTGTCGCTCCTCCGGATCTGCAGCCCGGGCTCCTTCTCGGCCGGCGCTTTCTCTCCGGTGGCTCGTTTCTTTTCTGCCCCTCCCCTCTCTGGCATGTCACTTGTGTCTCTCCAGTGCGCTGAGAGAGCCTGCACGGTCTGTTTCCCCACAGGCTTTCCCTGGCCAGGCCCCAGTGTTCACTGCTCTCCTTTTCCATCTGGGGAGCGGTTTAAAGGTCCTGCGTTTCTGTGGCCTCTGAGGTACATCTCTTTGTTCTCCCCCAAGCCTCCGGAAGGCTTGCATCCTTCTGCCTCCTTACATCCTGGACTACCTTACTGAGTGCTAGGACTGGAGACACTCCTAGAGCAACGGTGACATTTTACAGATGAGACATGGAGGGACCTGCCTGAGAACTCGAGTCGGATAGGCATGGGGCCGTGGGGTTGGATCTGAACCAGGCAGCGCTCTGGGCCAGGTGTGGCTGCTCTGGAAGACCCAGCTCTTGGGGATGAGAGATAATCCAGGAGGAAGATGGTCTGTTTTCTGATGAAATGCTGTGCTACTGTGTGGGGCTGGACATTGAATGAGCCAGGTCGCAGCTTGTCTCTCTTGTCTGTCACAAGCTTATCCTGAACTTGGGCCTCTCAGTCCCACCCCCTCTCGGCCAAGGTCGCCCTCTTTGCTCAAATTCCCCTATCTTATCTCTGGGTCGTAGGCATGTACAGGCTCTGTCTGCCCCAGACTGGTTTCCCCAGACACACAGAGAGAGAGACAGACAGACAGAACACACACACACACACACACACACACACACACACACACACACACCCCTTCTGCTAACAGCACCCCTATCCTAATTGGTCAAAGCCCTGGATGGGGGAGGCCCAGAACACAGCCAGCAGGAGGGCAATCATGCTGGGAAGTGCCTCCCTCAGCCCCTTGGAGGCTGTTCATCAGTTTTTCTAATTCTGACCCTGTGTGGGATGGGGGGATGGAGGGTGTAGGAGGTGGAGGTGGAGGGGGTGGGGGTGGGGGGTTGTGCTATAAGAGTAACAAACTTCAGAATCTGGGTTAACAAGAGTCGCCTTTTGGGTTCTCAGTCATTTTGTTACTATGAAAAATCACACTCACTCTAGTATGGAGCAACACTTTCTGGCATGCCCTGCCGCCCTGCTGCCTGCTGGAATGCTGGGTGGGCTTCTCCAGACCTGCCAGCTCCAGCTCCCACTGTTGCTTCCCTTAGGGCTCCTGGAGCCATGGATCCTCACACACTGTAGGCTTCCCACTTGGAGTACTGCAAAATGAACACAGGGGCTCCCTTACTTCCCTTTCCCAGCCCCTACTCCCTTGGGGAGAGACCCTGGTATTACTGAAGTGTGAAGGGATTCTGGGTAACTCCTTCCCTTATCACAGAGATGAACAGAAAAAAAAAATTTGAGGGCAGGAGAACAGGGAAAGTGGGAGGGATAAGGCTTTGTCCCAGATCTGGGATTGATGTGCTGCCACCAAAATATGGCCCAGATAGAGGTGTGTGGTGGTGGAGTGAAGCTGGGATTTTCTACATTGTAATACCCCCCATCGCAGGGGCTTGAACCCAGGGGGTGCTGAGCCACATCCCCAGCCTTCTTTATTTTGAAACAGGATCCCGCTAAATTGCCCAGGCTAGTTTTGAACATTCGATCGTCTTTCCTCAGCCTTCTGAGTTGCTGAGATTACAGGCATGTGCTGCCATGCTCAATGACCTGGGTCAAATAATTTGCCCTCCCCTTGAGCCATTTTCCTTATTTATAAAACAGTACAATAATACTCGTTTCAGAGAGGGGGGGGGAGGTTATGAGAGTCAGCTGAAATAGTGCATACTTAAGTACTTTTGCAAAATGTGGAATAAATGCCAGATACTATTATTAACTAGCTGTATAACTGAACAAGTTCTTTCTCCTCTCTGAGTCTTACTGTCCTTGTTTGTAAAGTGACAGGTTTGGATTAAATGCTATGTGAACATTTCCCCCAAGCATAAAGATGTTTTGTGGTTCCTGCTTGGAGGTGGTGTGGCTGACCCCAGTTGTAGCTGTTGAGGCGTAGAATCTTGCGTTTTGTACACAGGCTCACTGGTAGACTGTAGGGTTTGTGGGGTGGCTTGTTTGGGTGGAGGAGTCAAGAAGGATGCAGGCTCACCTGATAAGCACCTGGGTGTGTATTTATACCCTATGCACTTGGCTTTCCAGGAAAATCTCTACAAAAGTCAAACACCTTTAAATTGTTTTGTAGTGGTGGGATTTAGAAAAGGTGAAAGACATTGCTGTACATCACATTCCTAAGGAGCAAAAACACACTGGGGAGGTGTGACTTCCCTGAGGTGAAATTAGCAAGCCGAGAGGGGAGATTTAATAATGACTGGAGCAGCCCAGGGACCAGCCCTGCTTGTCCCTCTGCCCTGGCTGGCAGTGATGTGAGGACGTGAGGATGCAGTGGGTGGCAGAAAGGGGAGGGGACTCGTTGCCTTCTTTTCTTTCTGGAGGGAATGGAAGGAGGTGATGGGGACCCCAAGACAGAAGCAGTAGAAGAGGTGACTTCTGGGTACTGGGTTCTGAGGGGAGGCTGAGGCTAGCTGACTTTGGCTTGGCTGTCAGGTGGAAGCTGAAGTCCCTGCTCCACAGTAACTAGGAGTGGAACCGTGGGAGTTGGTTGTGGTCAGGCGACCCCTGGACTCGGCTCCTGCTGACCCATTGTTAAGACTTCAGGAACTTTTTAAGCCAGTGAAATGCTGTTTACAGCCAAAGTGGGGTTATTTATACCACCAAAATTTGCAAATACTGCAAGTGGGGGATATCTCCCCACTCTGTGCTGATTGGGAAACATTTACCGGCATACCCAGTAGTGCTGTGAACACCTAGTTCCTCTTTTTTTTTAAAATTTATGTTTTCTTTTTTCAGCTAATATACATTTAAAAAGCCCAATACTTAAAAAAAAAATTTGCTAACGTAATGGCTCCCTGCCCTGTCCTTTTCAACTCCCTTTTTAGTGCTCTTCCCCATGGATTGTTTACTCTGGCATCTTTTGATCAATTTTGGATGTTATCTTTTTTTATTTCCTATTGCATGTGAGGATTTAGCTCCCTTACACTGCCATTACTTTTTTCTTCCCCAAATCTTTATTTAGTAGTTGTCTAGTAATGCCTGTGCTCATATCATGCATTGATGTTCACAAAGTAGACTATGATTTTACTTTTTTGTTTATTTTTTTATTTCAGTGAGGTTAAGAATGTCTTATTCTTCAATTTGCTTGTTTTTCTTTGTACCCTTTGCTAATTCTTACACCTCCTAGTAGCCTCTCAGTACAGTTTTCTGCAGGTCCATATGCTAGTTAGTTTTCTATCACTGTGACAAAATACCTGAGATGAACAACTTATAAAGGGGAAAGGTTTATTTTGGCTCATGGCTTCAGAGATCAGTCCATAGTTGCTTGGTCTTACTTTGGGCCTGTGATGGCGTGGTATATCCTGGTGGAAGCACATGGTGGAGGAGGCTTCTTCATTTCATGGGAACTGGGAAGCAAAGAGAGAGAAAGGAAGGGGCCAGGGCCCAAATATGCCTTCAAGGCCATGTGATCTCACTTCCTTCCAATAGGCCTTACCTCCCAAACATTCCACCACCTCCCATAGTATCAAGCTGAGAACCAGACCTATAACACCCGGGCCTTGGAGGCCCTTCCAGATCCAACTGTAGCAGTTAGTCTGTCCTTTCAAGGTGTTCTTTAGGTTCTAAATTTTTTTCTTGTAGACATCTTCCTTTCTGAGACTTTGGCGTGCTGGCCTCCTTGGCATGCCTTTGCCTTTCTTCTTGCTTAAATTCTTTGTTTCCTGGACTGTTCATCTTTCTCTTTCTTTGGTTGATGGGGTTGCCTCCATCAGTAGTTTTGTCAAGTTAAAAAGATAATACATAGCCAGGTATGGGGTACATACCTGTAGTCCCAGCACTGTGAGACTGAGGCAGGAGCATCTTACGTTTAAACTCAGCCGGGGCAACTTAGTAAGACTCAGTCTCAAAAAAAAAAAAAAGTCAAATATGTTGAAAGTGGCCATCAGCATGCCTTTTGTCACTGACTGCACTCTTTGTTTTTTCTCTTTTTGTGGCACTGGAGATTAAACCTAGGGCCTTTCCACTGAGTTATAGCCCCAACTCTTCTTATTTTTTGTTTTGAAAGAGTCTCACCAGGTCCCTAGCTTCTCCAGGCGGCTCAAACTTGTGATCCATCTGCCTCAGCCTCTCAAAGTGCTGGGAGAGTCTAATTGCCTTCTGTGGTGACAGCTGTCATCCTAAAACAGTGCCTCGCATGTAGTCAGTGGTCAGTAATGATTTTCTGAATAGATGAATAAATTTGGATATTTATCTTTATTGTCATTCTGGGGATTGTCTTTGCTTCTTTCTTGTATTAGCTCTCCTCTCTTGGTTTTCTTCCTTGATTTGCTAGGAAATTGCTCTGCAGTGATGCTGTTGTTTAAAGGTCCCTTCCAAAACTCACGTAAAAATGGAATTGCCATTGTGACAGTATTAAGAACTGGGACCTTTGCGAGGCGATTAGGTCATAAAAACTCTGTGCCGATAAACAGGTTCCTACTGTCCGTAGAGAAGAGGATCAGTTACTACGAGATGGGTGTAAGTTTGCCTCCGTCTTGCCCTTTTGTATGTCAGGCTCACCCCTGTGCCCTTCTGCTATGTTAGAACACAGCACAGGGGCCCTGGCCAGATGCCAGTGCCATGTTCTTGGACTTCCCAGCCTCCACCACGGTGAGCCAAACGGATTTCTGTCCACTCTAAATTGCCTGGTGTGTAATATTCTGTTATGGCAGTAGAAAATGGATTAGGAAAAATGGCTTCCTAAGGAAGGTTTTATGTGGTAGGAAAAAATAGGTTGCATATCTGTATGTCTGGGTTGCATATCTGAGGGCCATGTGATTGACAATTGGCTGTACTGAATTATAAATGGAAATTATTTTCCTTGGGAAATGTGAAGGCATTACTCCATTGATGCCAGGAGCTGATCAGACCCCTGGGTACTTGTGGGGGTTGCGGGGGGGGGGTGGGGAATGGCAGGGAATAAAGACAAAAGACAATATTCAAGGTGCAAGAGGACCAGGAGGAACCTGCCTCTCATGGGCAGGCACAGCAATCTCTGTGGTTAACCTACTTTTATTAGCAAGGGAGAAGCAGAGGGAGTGGGAGGGGTAGTGTACTTTTTATGGAACAGCAACTGCAGTAAATGGGGAGCAGTTTAATGGAAAACAAGTCCTTCTCTGCATCAATATGCATACATTCTTTAGATTGTCCGCAGCAGATGTTATCTTGCCTCAGGAATGCTGTGGTCCTGAGCCTTCTCTGTGCAGCCAGGAAGCACGTGGCCTTCTACATGCTTCTCTGTTCCTAAAGCAGGTTACACTGGCCTCGGCCCCGTGGTGGTCACATTGCCTGGTCTTCAACACACTGACATCTTGCCTTTGAGAGGTGTGAAGCTATTTTGGTCTCTGGTCCTTTGTCTGAGATGTTTTTCTGCTTGAAAGTCTTTAGTTTCCTTCAGTATTCTGAGGTCTCCCAGGGAGACTCCTTTATGGGAGACTCTGTTTTGTCATTTGCTTTAATACTCAGTGGGTCCTTCTGTCTGGGCTTCATGGTCCTCAGAGCTAGGAAATTTTGGAGGAGCTACTTTGTTAATGGTTCTTCCCCGTGCCTTCCTCATCTCCTGTTCAGACACCGAGTTTTCTAGAGGTCCTCTACTTTCCTTATTTTTTCTCTCCTGCTTCCCAACTCTGACTCTACTTTCTAGGATTTTTTCAGCTTTGTTTTCCAAACTTTTCTTGGATCTTTCATTTCTGCTATATTCGTAATGTCTTAAGAGTCACTTGTGTTCTCTGCTTTTAAAAGCAGCATCCTATTGTGTGGTAGGTACTACATGCTTTACATTCACTGTAAAGGAGTAATGATAATGAACTTCTTGAAGTTTTCTCCTCCCTACCTAGTTTCTCTTCTTTCATTTTTTTTCCCTGTAAGTTTCAGCCTCTGTGTTTTACATTAGAAGTTTCCCTCATATGCCTGTGCGTAATTAGTGGTGAAGGACAAAAAGCTGATTGGGAGTTGGAGCTATGGATGAGGCTTGTTGATTTTGAATTTGGTTGTACAGAGATTTGGGACCATTTTCTGTTAAGCAACCTCTTTCATGATCATTGGGCCTTTGCTCTTGGGCTGGCCAGGTTTTCCAGAATGTACCCCTCTGGAGGGTCAGGGCCTGACTGTTACATCTCTGAATGACAAGAATGAGTTTCTCTGCATTCAGCTTCCACTGTGCACAAAATCATTTGGCCTCCTCCTTTCGTATGGTACCTACCCACACCTTCACGTACTGTATGCTGGTTAACCTCTCATCCTAAGGCCTTGTTTTCTACTTAGAGAACAAACTTCTAGCAGATGGGGAGAGACTTGCCCAGCCTGTGTTGGCGGCATGGGGTGGGGGCAGTAGCTGGGTTTCCGGATCTATCTGCTCATCCTAGAACGTGGCTTTGTTTCTTGTTTCCTCCCAATTCCAGAGTTCTTGGTGTGGTCATTTTCTGAGCTGGAATGTACATTGAGGTGGCTTTGGAAAGAAGACCATGAATAATAACTGACTTATGAGAAAGTTGAATCCTAAGTCGGTTATTAAGTAATAAAGTAGCTTGTCAAGTATAAAGCAGTATCATAACATTTAATGTTTTTTAACTTATAAGTGGATGAACGATCTGTGGAACATTAAACAGTGTATTTTTACAAGTGCATTGCTTTTTTTCTGTGCTTTTAAAATTCATCTGTATTATTTATCTATCCAGTTACTCCTACCTTTTCTCTGCTTTTTCTTCTTTTGTGAGAAAAAGGGCGGTGAGCTCTAGATAGTACAATTGTTCCAGATATTTCTGGGTTGTAAATGTCTGTTATTTCCTCATCTCTTTTCCCTTTTCATGATAGATACATCATGGTTAAAACCCTAGACCTTGGGGTCAGAGTTCTGAGTACCCCAGCCTACCTATGCTATCTTGGACATGTAGCCTTTCTTTGTCATCTAAAATGGGGATGGTGGTAATTTCCTTGTACAGATGAGAGAAGAGTAAGTGTGATAACATGTATAAAGTGCCTGGTGCTTGATAAGTGATAAATGTTATTTCAGATTTATTATTTTGAAAATTATATCAGTTTCTGTATTTTTGCAATTAAAAATGTTGAATAGTTGATGGAACAATAAATATTCTAAGCTCTTTTTAAAAAGAGAAAGAGCTAGGTATGGTGGTTTACATTTGTAATCTCAGTACTTGGGGAGGCTGAGGCAGGAGGACTGCAGCAAGTTCAAGGCCAGTCTGTCTATGTAGTGAGTTCAAACCTAGCCTGAACTACAGATCCTGTCTCAAAAACCAAAATCCAAAAAAAGCAAAACAAGAGAAACCACCAATTTTCTTCCCCAACACACGTCTTCATTTTTATATACTGTTTTCATGTTGTTGGGATGTGGGGTACATGGGGTGGGGACGTTTCTTCAGGTGAGTGTTTTCTGCACCTGGTCAGATTTACCCTTGCAAAACCCTTGCAAAGCTGAGGTTCAGGTGGCAGGAGCTGGCTTAGGATGGCCATCCGATTTTGTGCTGTTTTGGACTGGTTGACAAGAGGTTACACTTGTGTATATTTCAGGTCCTTTGGGGAGAAGATAAACCTCCCCAAGCTAAGTCCATGGCCTAAGTTGAGTGGAAGAGGCCTGCATAATCCTGAGCGGTGAGGGTGCCTGGGTACTGAGCAGAGGTGTGGTGAGATCTTCAGGATGGCTCTTGGAGGTCTAAAATAGAGCATTGGTTCCCTAGTGGAACTGTGAGGAGAGGGATGGTTGTCATAGACACTAGGAGGTGGAGGGACACAAGGGCAGGTGCAGTCTGCATGGGCCGGTGGGTGAAGAGGGAGTGCTCCTGTTCCCTTGGAGACTCTGGGGCTATGCTCAGCTAGAGAGTGAAGGAGCCCAACCTCTCCCAGGAAAGTTGCTTATTCAGGGAGCCAGAGGCCTTTTTATGGTTAGATCTTGGGTGTTTCTGTGAGGTGTTTTCCTGGACACAAGCCTAGCACCTTATCTCCTCCTCTGTCTATTCTGGGCAACAGAGTTACCATAGTTACAGGTTATGCTAGAGAATTTGTGGAGGAGATTAAGGCAGAATCGCACAGGATTACCAGGTAGTCACTGTGCAGTCAGCCAGAGGAGTTGAAAGGTGTCTGGTTTTAGGGTCAGACAGATGTGGGCTGTGACTCTGGCCCACTCACCCTCAGCCTGTGTGTGCCCTTGGGCAAGCTACACAGCCCTTCTGAGCTGCAAAACAGAAACAAGCTGTGTCGGGGACCACCCTAAACACTTCTTAGGTTTTAGCTTGCTGCAGCTTTCAGTAGCCTAATGAGGCAGGAGCCATTATTATCTCCATTTTACAGATAGGGAAACCCCCAGAGGAGCTGAGGAGAAATAATTTGCCCCAAGGGTAGGCTGCCCAAGTTCCTTCTCCTGAAGAGTGCTCAATCGTGTGCGGCTCCTGTCCCTCCAGCTGTTGCACAGTTTCTGAATCTCAAAGCAGGACTGAGCCCGCAAGTGTCCAGTTTAACTTGCCATTTTATATGTGAAGAGACAGAGGCCCTGAGAAGATTTCCCACAATCCTAATAATGTTGGCCAGGCTGGAACTAAAATTAGGTCTCCTTGACTTCAAGCTTGGTTTTTTCCCCTCCTCTTCCTCAGACTTCTGTCAACATTCCCCGGAAAGAAATGAGTGCATAAGGGACAGGATCAGGAGTGGGTGGCTGCCCTGGGAGAGTGAACAGGGGAGGCGCATGCTGAGTAAGGGCTGGGAGGGTGGGGTGCGGGACAGAGCCAGTGGCACTTTATGACAGATTGTCTTCCTTTGACTCTTCCTGTGTGCTCAGGAGTATCTCAAGGGCCTGTGCAGCCCAGAGCTGTGGAAGGAGGTCCGCTACCCGCCGATGCTACATTGTGCCTTCCTCGGCGCCCAGGGCCTCTTTTTGGATTGCCTCTGCTGGAGTACCCTGGCCTATCTGGTGCCTGGTCCTCCTGGCTCTCTGATGGTAGGCGGGCTCACCGAGTCTTTCACCATGACCCAGAACTGGCTGGAGGAGTTAGTGGCACGGCTGCGCTGGGGCCCTGCCCCTCTGCTGACCCCCCGGGGAATCTGGGAGGCTGAGGTGTCCCGGGCCTTTGGGGCCCTGGTGTGGATCCGTAGTGACCAGTACGCAGGGGACCTGTTGCAGTTACCCCCAGCCGTTCAGGAGCTGCTGCTGAGCCTGGTGCGGGATGCTGCAGGCAAGGAGGACATCATTGAGTGGCTCAGCCACTTCGGCATCTCCAACACCCGCTCTGGCCCAGAGGTCCTGATCAGCCCTCCCCAGCAGCAAAAGGAAGACTCGGCTGTTGTGTCCATGGGAGGGAGTCCTGGGTCCATCCTTGAGATGGGGACCCTCCAGATTGGAGGCCCAGAAAATCCAAAGAGAGTAAGCAGCCTGAGAGCCACCAAGTCCCTGATCCCAGTCCAGAACACTCAGCAGAAGACAGCAAACCAGCTGGTACGGTAAGTTGTGGACAATGAGTCTGGCTTCTCTGACCCCTACCCCTGCCCCTCTACCCCAAGGAAATGATAGTAGTTTGGGAAAAATGGGCCTTCCTGCCTTTTCAACAAACTTGGGCTTCCTCTAGGGTTGGTGACAACAACCAAGGTGGTACGAACAGTGTTCAAGAGGAAGGGCTGATACAAGCCACCAGCAGCCAGGACTCTGTGAACCGCATGCCAGCCTTGTTGCATCAAAAGCAGGTCCACAAGGTAGAAGAGAAATTCCTCTTCCAGCCTTCGGTATCAGCTCTGGGTATGTGTCCGTCCTGGAAGGGCTGGGCCCCGGGGCCAGCCTTTGGGCCCTTGCGGCCAGGGACTATTGCTGCAGCCTTTTGGAGGATCAATGAACTGCATTCTCTGCACCTGGCCTGGCTTTTGTCTCAGGCGTGCTTCAGTCTCCCATTCTGGCAGAGGCCACTGGGCCCCATTCAGCTGAAGCTGCCAGGGCAGAGTGCTTTGCCCTTAAATCTAGAATGGAAGCAAAAGGAGCTGTCTCCTTTGCCTTGTGCAGAAGGCCCAGCTTGTAGACCAGATGGGGAACTGGGAGGAGAGACAAGTCTACAGAATTGCCCAAGACCAGAGACACCCCCAAAAGTCGTGAGTTTATTGGTGGTCCCGGGAGGCTCCGGTGCAAAGGACAAGGTTAGCCCAGGACTTCCACGTATAGGCCTACCTTTGGCCTCAACAGCCCAAGCTGGAGATAAGCGAGGGAACCAAGGGGGCATGCGGCCGGATTATGAGTGGCTAGAAAAAGGGCCCTCTCCAGCGCCACCCACAGAACAGGAGGCACCTACAGCTCAAGGAAGGCCCATGGCTCAAGAGGGGCTGACAGCCCAGTCAGCACCTGAAGTTCGGACAGTGCCTGAAACTCTCAAAGTGCCCATGGCTGCAGCAGTGCCCAAGGCTGAAAACCCACCCATAACTCAAAGGCAGCCTGCAGCTCCCAAAGTGCCTACATCCCAAATGATGCTGGCAATGAGCACAGAGCCTGCAGCAACCCAAGTGCCTGCTGCCACAAAGCCTGCTGCCCAGGTAGTGTCCACAGCTCGAAAAGCCACAGTGGATCAACCAGCATCAGCATCAGCAGCTCAAGAGACGTCTGCAACTCCAAAAACTGTCATGGCTCAGAAGATGCCCGCAGCCACAACATCGCCTGCAAATCCCCAAATACTCCAAGCTCACGCTGGGCCTGTGACTAAAATGGGATGTGCAGCTCCTAAAATATCTGCAGCCCCCAAAGAATCTGCAGCTCCTAAAACGTCTGCAGTGCCCAAAGCACCTGGAGCTTCTAAAGCCTCCAGACCTCCCAAAACATCTGCAGCCCAGAAGGTACCCCCAGGTGAAGGGCCGACCTTGGATGTAGCCAGACTTCTGAGTGAGGTTCAGCCTTTGTCAAGAGGTGATGGCTCCTTACCAAAGGGCCAGGGGGAGCCTGGAAGGCAGGGTGCCCAGCCCAGCAGCACCTTGGCCCTCAGCAATCAGCACCAGTTCCGGGTGGAGGGACTCCTGGGGGATTGGAAGGGGGGCCCAAGGCAGTCACCTCGCCACCCACAGGCAAATAGCACGGTGACCAGCTTCCAGAGGTACCACGAGGCCCTGAACACACCCTTTGAGCTGAACTTGTCAGGAGAACCTGGGAACCAGGAATTGCGCAGAGTGGTCATCGATGGCAGCAGCGTGGCCATGGTGTGAGTAGCCACGGGCTTGGGCTGGGCTGGGGATGCTAGGAGCTGGGGCGGGCAATTCATGGGCAGTGAAGTGTGGGATCCCATCTCGACCCGCATAAAAGGCATAGGGTTCAAATGGGGAAAGGATGGAAGGGAAATGGCACATTGAGTGGCCACACTGTGCTAAACAGTATGCACCAAATTGACCCAGCAGCCCTGGGATGAAAGGTGTCTGTTCTTCCTCTTGCAGACAAGCAAGGAGGTGAGGAATCTCACCTAACATCCCTGAGTCAGCCTTTGGGTTCAGGTCTGTTCACTGCCAAGGCCCATGCTCCTCCCAGGCTGGCTTCTAGACATACAGCCCAAACATCATGGCCCACTAAGATTTACTCTGAAGCCATGCCAGCCCCTAGCTATTGCCCTTCTTGCGCAGTGCTTACTGCTGTAGAGGTCTTAGCATGAATGCATGCTAGGCTGCTTCATTTGCCGTGTAGCAGTGTAGTTACTCATGCTGAGCACATTCTCAGCACACAGGAGGCAGGCAGAGAATTTTTGTTTGCTGTAAGCTCTTGAGTACAGGGCCTCTCTCTTTCTCGTGTCCTCAGTGCGCACGTGCATGTGTGTGCGCACACACACACACAGGCAGTGTCTGGAATTTCTGTGTATCCAGTCGCTGCTCACAGAATGTTTGAGGACGGAGGGCAGGGAGAAGGGCGTTGTGGTGTCTGGTGCTGATGCTGCTGTCTCACTCCCCCCGCACCCCCCAGGCATGGCCTCCAGCATTTCTTCTCCTGCCGAGGCATTGCCATGGCGGTGCAGTATTTCTGGAACCGGGGACACCGAGAGGTCACTGTGTTTGTACCCACCTGGCAGCTGAAGAAGAACCGAAGGGTGAGAGGTGAGATGTGCTCTGTCCGCCCTGCCCCCCTGGCATCACCGTGGTTTCCTGTGCCTTTCTGCTCTGCCTCCCACCATTTCACTGTGGCCTTTCCCATTTAGTCCTTCCTCTGACCGTTTTTGTCTTCTGCGTTTTACCCTCAGAGAGCCACTTTCTGACGAAGCTCCACTCGCTCAAGATGCTTTCGATTACCCCCTCCCAGCTGGAGAACGGCAAGAAGATTGCCACTTATGATTATAGGTGCGCCGCTCCCCAGGCCTCTCCGTAGGGCTCAGGTTGGCCTTGGATGAGGTATGTGGCAGGCGTGGTCCTGCCACATCTTCTCTGCAGAATTGGTGGCGAATGTGTCAGGGGGATCATTCCTAGAGGATGGGGTGAGGCACAAGTGAGGAGGGGCTTGAGGTTGGCTCTACCCAAGCCCAGGGGTTGCTCCTAACTTGGGGACTCTGGTGTTCCATTTCCCGGGGTTAACTGGCTTTCTTCATCATGGACTATGTGGTCCAACACCCGCCACTCTGAATCAGACAAGCCCAGATAACTTAACTCCTCATGTTCTCAGTGAGCAGCAGAGGTACTATAGGCTTTTGGGTACCAGTTTGGGATGAAGTTCAAGGGACTGCTTCAGCCTTTTCCTTCTCCAAGGCCTGGTACAGGAGGAGGTGTGTGTGTAGAAAATGCCTTAGGCGAGGCTCTGGAAATGGAGTTAGGCTGGCTGCATCTGCTCGAATCCAGAATGCCTCTGTGTCTGTTACTCTTAGGCACCCACTCTTCAGTGAGGCTGTAGGATGAACTTTCCCAGGGAAACCTGTGTCCCTGCCTCTGTTGAAATGAAAAGGCCCTGTCAGAGTGACTAGTTCTGGGCTGGACATGATGTGGGGCAGACAGAGGTCTTGGCTTCACTAGGTACCTCCCGTGCTGGGCAGGGAAAAGTTCCGTTTCCCCACTGCTCTTCCAAAGATGTAACATCTGTGTAGCTCTCTGGCTCAGGAAAGGCTGGGCAGGGCTTTGCAGGATCCTTCCTTCCCCAGCCAGTCGGTGGGTTAAGATCTTTGAGAGTTTGGACCTGGGTTTGAGGGAGGGTGTCTTTTCTACAGAAGGTCCCTCTGCTGGGTGCTTGTGGGATAGCATGCTTGGGGTAGCCAGAATGATGATCTTCAGAAATGCTAAGAAGTAGGTAGCCTTTGTGAGTTCAGTTCCTGGTACCGGAGAAAAAACAAAAAAAAAAAAAAAAAAAAAAGAAGTAGGTAGCCTTTGCTTGCTTTCTTGGTCACAGCACTCCTTAGAGGAGAGGTGATCCTTGGAAAAAGGATGTTTAAAGTTCAGGTTTGTGTTTTTATATATGTATTACTTCTTGGCACGCATACGAATGTTGTGCATTGGTGAGGAACATGGGGATATTAGTGCATATGCTGTGTAGCAGGCATTGAGCTAGACGCGTAAACGCCTTGTGTCATTCAGCTTAATTCTTACAGCAGTGTCAGGTAGGGACGTCATCTCCATTTTACAAAAGCAGGACATACGCATGTGTGAAGTGGGTGGGTGTCTGTGACTGTGTGTGTTTGTGTATGTAATGGGGTGTGTGTCTGCATGTACAGCTGAGGTGTGTGCATCCTCCTAGGGAGCTGCTGGGGGACCCGGATGGCTGCGGAGGAGGAGGTGTGCTGCGGACCCCGAGTCCCTGGCTGTGCAGGGGGCAGTGTTTTTGTCTGGCACACCTCCCTGTGAAGCTGCAAGTTCATTTTCTCAGGGGACCCAGAAAGTGATGGGGCTGGTTCCTGGGTCATTAGTGACTCCTCTTCTCCCTTCAGGTTCATGGTAAAGCTGGCAGAGGAGACAGACGGCATCATTGTTACCAACGAGCAGATTCACACCCTGATGAATAATTCTAAGAAACTCACGGTCAAAGATCGGTGAGACAGCTGCCTAGGGGCAGGAGCCACTCTGTCTTTTGATGTCAGGAAGCCCCTGGCAGAGCAGATGATGGGGCAGGGAGAGGGGTGCTGGAGTAGGGCTTACCAGCACCTTCCGGGAGGTGGAAGGTCAGCCAGGCAGTAGTAGGGCATGGGAAAGTCAGGGCTCATCTAAGACCAGGCCCCCTTCTCTTCTGGGTCCAGCCTGCTGCCCTTCACGTTTGCGGGGAATCTCTTCATGGTACCAGATGACCCCCTGGGCCGTGATGGCCCCACCTTGGATGAGTTTCTGAAGAAGCCAAACAGGTAAAATATGAGGCCCTCCCGAGAGTAACCAGAAACTTCCCTTTAGTGCTAGCCAGTACTGCCTGCTGCTTAATCGTGAACAGAACAGAGTGACTTGACTTTGTCATGTACTACACTTCTGTCGTCTGTTGGTGCATCAACCACTTGTAGTATGGATTTTAACATTTCCCACATGCTTTGATGCTGTATGTGTCCTTCCATAACTGGCATTTGTTGACCTTTTTGGGGGGCGGTGGGTACTGGGAATTGAACTCAGGACCTCGTGCTTGCCAGGCAAGTGCTGCGCCGGCCCTCAGAAGTGGCATTTGTGTTCCGTGTTTTACTATTTTTTGTTTCAGATGTATGCTATGCTACTTCATATAGTACATGTTCGTGGCCATGCAGTATTCTGTTACATGAATACCCACATAACAGGCTTATTATCTGTTTTCTAGTTAAGGCCCTTTTGACTTTTTGTTTTGTTTGTTTTTGTTTTTATTTTTTGAGACCAGGTCTCACTGTGTAGTTCAGGCTGGCCTTGAACTCCTGCTTCAGCCTCCCAAATGCTGAGGTTACAGGCCTGTGCCCCCACGTGTGGGTATTTCTATTTGATGATATTGGTGCCAATGCAGTACGGAACTTCAGTTAGATGTAAGTGATCACTGTCATTTATGGATGGGGAATCTGAAACTCAAGGGACCTTTCCAAGGTCGCTTTGCTGGTATTAGCAAAACAGGTTTGCAGTCACTCTGATTCTCTGGCCTCCATCCCCTCCAAACACTTTGCTGCCCACCTTTCAGTACCCTGGGCCCAGCAGCAGGCCTTGGTTGGTGCGCTCTGAGCAGGGTGCTGCTTCCCAGGCCTGACCCTCAGTCCCACTTCTCCGGCTTGGAAACAGGGCTGAGGCTGTGCACTGGGCTCTCTTCTCGTGTTGCTCTCCCCATGGCTGTGTGTCCTGGGGTTATGTTGTAAGCTGCCAGTCATCTCTCATCAAACCACTGGCTTAAGACTAGGTTAAATGCATCCTGCTCAGTGCAGCTTTGCTTTTACGCTGAAGTTCCGGCAGATGCAGAGCTAGAGCAAGAATCCGCAGGTTAGGGCCTGTGGGAGCCCTTGCCTAGAGACAGGAGCCTGGCCCTCAGCCCAGCCTTGGAGACACCCTGGAATGGGGCAGGGTGCTGTGGGGTATCCACAGGTGTATCTTTTCCCTTGGATGACCTGGAGGGGTGGGGTTGTCCCCTCTCCCTCTTCCACCTGTTTTGTAGGTTGGACACAGACGTTGGCAACTTCCTGAAGGTATGGAAGACCCTTCCACCCAGCTCAGCCAGCATCTCTGAACTGAATGGTGATCCTGACCCCAGGCCCTTGGAGCGCCCACAGGATGTGGAAGAAGTCAGGGAGGAGAAGGAGGAAAAGCAAAATGAAGAGTGCAGAGAGGGGCAGGAAACGCCACAGTGGGCCGAGGAGGACGACCTGGACTCTTCCCTAGCATCAGTGTTCGGGGTTGAGTGCCCCTCCCTTTCTGAGGAAATCCTGCAGTGCCTGAGCCTCCACGACCCCCCTGACGGGGCCCTGGACATTGACCTCCTGCCAGGGGTGGCCTCTCCCTACCTGGGCATCCCCTGGGATGGGAAGGCTCCCTGCCAGCAGGTTCTTGCGCAGCTGGCCCAGCTCACCACCCCCAGCAACTTCACCGTGCTTTCCTTCTTTGTGGGGTTCATGGACTCCCACCGGGATGTCATCCCTGACTATGAAGGCCTCATGGGCCCTCTGCACAGCCTCCTCAAGCAGAAGCCAGACTGGCAGTGGGACCAGGAGCATGAGAAGGCCTTCCTGTCCCTGAAGCGAGCCCTGGTGTCCGCCCTCTGTCTGACGGCCCCCAATTCCCAGCTGCCCTTCCGCCTGCAGGTGACAGTGAGCCAGGTGGCACTGACAGCCATCCTCTACCAGGAGCACTCAGGGAGGAAGCATCCCATCGCCTATACCTCGAAGCCCCTACTCCCGGATGAGGACAGTGAGGGCCCCCAGTCAGGCGGGGACAGCCCCTACGCTGTGGCCTGGGCCCTCAAGCATTTTTCCCGCTGCATCGGAGATGCTCCAGTGGTCCTGGACCTTTCCTATGCTTCCCGGACCGCTGTGGCTCCTGAGGCACCGGAGGGCCGCCGGGTTTCCAAAGCGTGGTTGATCCGATGGTCCCTTTTGGTACAGGACAGAGGCAAGAGAACCCTGGAACTGGCCCTTCTCCAGGGCCTGCTGAGGGAAAACCGACTGCTGACACCTGCTTCCTCGATGCCTCGTTTCTTCCAGGTTCTGCCTCCCTTTTCTGACCTGTCCACTTTTGTCTGCATCCACATGTCGGGCTACTGCTTTTACCGTGAGGATGAGTGGTGCGCTGGTTTTGGCCTCTATGTCCTGTCTCCCACCAGTGCCCCTGTCTCCCTCTCCTTCTCCTGCTCCCCTCACACCCCGACCTATGCTCACCTGGCAGCCGTGGCCTGTGGCCTGGAGCGGTTTGGCCAGTCTCACCTCCCTGTGGTCTTCCTCACACACTGCAACTGGATCTTCAGCCTCCTCTGGGAGCTCTTGCCCCTCTGGAGGGCCCGGGGCTTCCTGTCCTCAGATGGGGCTCCACTACCTCACCCCGGCCTGCTCTCCTACATTATATCCCTCACCTCTGGCCTTCCATCCCTTCCGTTCATCTACAGAACCTCCTACCGGGGCTCTCTGTTCGCTGTGACAGTGGATAACCTGGCCAAGCAGGGTGCCCAAGGGGGTGGGCAGTGGTGGAATTTGCCAAAAGATGTGCCAGTCCCCGTCGTGACTCCCCATGCCACGGGCAAGAGGCCCAACTTGCTGGCATTGCAGCTGAGTGACAGCACCCTGGCGGATATCATTGCCAAGCTTCGTGCGGGGCAGAAGTTGCCTGGCTCCTCCCCCTTCAGTTCTGCCTTTAACTCACTCAGCCTTGATAAGGAGAGTGGGCTGCTTATGTTCAAGGGAGATAAAAAGCCCAAGGTCTGGGTAGTCCCGAGGCAACTCCGGAGGGATTTGATTTTCTCTGTGCACGACATCCCCATGGGAGCCCACCAGCGGCCAGAGGAGACCTACAAGAAATTGCGGGTGCTGGGATGGTGGCCTGGGATGCAGGAGCATGTGAAAGATTACTGCAGGAGCTGTCTGTTCTGCATCCCCCGGAATCTCACAGGCAGTGAGTTAAAGGTCATCGAGTCCCCATGGCCCCTCAGATCGACTGCCCCCTGGTCGAACCTGCAGATAGAGGTGGTGGGTCCGGTCACCACAAGCGAGGAGGGCCACAGGCATGTGCTCATCGTGGCTGACCCCAACACCCGGTGGGTGGAGGCATTCCCACTGAAGCCCTACACGCACATGGCCGTGGCCCAGGTGCTGCTTCAGCATGTGTTTGCACGCTGGGGTGTTCCAATGAGGTTGGAGGCGGCCCAGGGCCCCCAGTTTGCCCGGCATGTCCTGGTGAGCTGTGGGTTGGCCCTGGGAGCACAGGTGACCTGCCTGAGTAGGGACTTGCAGTTCCCCTGCCTAGTGAGCTCAGAGGCCTACTGGGAATTCAAGAGGGCCCTAAAGGAGTTCATCTTCCTGCATGGCAAGAAGTGGGCATCCTCCCTGCCCCTGTTGCACCTGGCCTTCAGGGCCTCCTCCACAGTGGCCACGCCGTTCCGGGTTCTGACAGGAGGGGAAGGGAGGCTGACTGAGCCCCTGTGGTGGGAGATGAGCAGTGCAAACATTGAAGGGCTCAAGATGGATGTCTTCCTGCTGCAGCTGATTAGGGAGCTGCTGGAGCTCCACTGGAAGGTGGCTGAAAAAGGCGCTGAGAAGGCCGACAACAGGCGCTTCAAGCAGGAGAGCCAGGAGAAGGAGTGGAACGTGGGTGACCAGGTCCTTTTGCTGTCCCTCCCCAGGAATGGCAGCAGTGCCAAATGGGTGGGTCCCTTCTATATCGGGGACCGGCTGAGTTTCTCTTTCTACAGGGTGTGGGGCTTCCCAACCCCAGAGAAGCTGGGGTGCATCTATCCCAGCAGTTTGATGAAGGCCTTCGCCAAGAGTGGTACGCCCCTGTCCTTTAAGGACTTGGAGCAATGAGCTGGAGCGGTGGGGGAGCCCCCTGTCCAGGAAGTCCTGGGTTTCTGCTGCTAGTCCTCCACCTGTCCCCTGCAGTGCTCTTGGCCCTTTGGGGCCCTCTGTTGTGCCTTGTGTAGAGAAGTTGCTTCCTAAAGCTTTGCTGAGTTGCCTTGAACTAGGGACCAGTGTCCCCATGAAAGTAGCCCCACTTTGGGGTATCTGGAGAATTTGCCACAGGCTGTCAAGTGTGTGCCTCTGGTGATTTTACACTGGGGAGTAGAAGCTCTCCTTACTAAAGTAGGCCAGGCTCAGAATCTTTCCCCAGGTATCTTCTTCCCCCTTCACACACATGTAGGTGTGTGGTGTTTTGTGCCCCCCATCTTATTCCTGGCTGTCTTAACCATGAAATAGTGACACTCGGGACTCACAATTGGAACCATAGTCCTCTCCCAAACAGGAACCTTGAATGTGGGTTACACTCCCTTCAACCTGTGCCCCTGGGGAACCTCTGCCCTTGGAGTTGTCACTGACACAAACCCACATGAGCAGTGGGAAGGAAGCCAGCTCCTTCGCCTCACAGCCAGCTTTCTTAGGCTGAGCTTGGGCTCCCCTGCTGTCCAGGAAGGGCTGGCAGTCCTCCTGGGCCTCGAGGGCAGTAGCTCAGAGGGGAGGATGGCCAGCCTCAAGCCAGCCACTTCTTAGCACAGGAAAGACAGGGTGGGATAAGTTGGTCTACCTCACTTGACTCCAGCTGATGGAGATGACACCTGACCCCTATTTTGATGGTGTCAGCTGCATAGGGATTAAGGATCTTGATGCCAAGTGTGGCATCTCTACTGGAAGAGCTGCTTCTACTAGACCAAGGAGCCTTGGCCTCTGTTTTAAGGCTTCAGAAATGAGCAGTCTGGCATATAGCCAGGTACAGGTATTTCTTTTCTTCCCAATCCTGCCCAACCCCATCCCAAAGCCCACAGCCTTCCTCTTTTTGCTTCCACTGGCCCCTGTATCCTTAGACACTATGTAGTGTGATTGCTTTGTTTGGAGCCCCCTCCAACCCTCTGGTCCTCTGAGCCCCTGGCTCCCTGCAGAGATCACTCTTAGTGAGCTCCCATGGGTGTGTGTGTGTGTGTGTGTGTGTGTGTGTGTGTGTGTGTGTATGCTAACAGTCCTCTGCATTGGGGCTGCTGCTGAACAGCCAGTCTCCAGGTGAGGGTGTGCAATGTGTCCCTGTCTCAGCCTCTGAGTTGTTTCATTTCTTCAGAAGCTGAGCCAGGAGAGACCTTGGCATCAAGCCCAACTTGCTTGTTATACAACAGAGGAAAGAGGCCCAGAGAGAGTGACTTGGTCATAGTCACACAGCTAGTTGGTGGCTGAGTTGGGACCAGGATTAAGCATACTAACTCCTAGTTCACTGTGACAAGGGTTCTGGTCACAGGTTCAAGCGAGAGAATCCTTCAAAATTCTATATCCATACTCTCCGTTACCCATTGTGTCATTTTCCCACTCGTGTAGATGAACTACCTGGATGTTGTCCTTAAACCCATCCTAGTTGTTAATCCTATCCAGGAATGAATGGGTGGCAGTGGAGAAGCTGAAAAGGTTGCCAGTAGGATTTTCAGCACATACTCCTCGTTGTCCCTCGCCTTGCCCCTTCTCTTCCTCCAATTCCTAGTGGCATTTCCAGCCTCACTGTCCCAGCCTTGCGCTGTATGCTTTCTCCCTCTTAGCTACAACTTTGATCCTATGCCTTTTTCTTAAGTGAATTTTGTTTTCATTTTGTCAATAAACGAATTAAACCAGAACCAATATTTGGTACTTTTTAAAGCTTCAGACCCAATTAGGGTGGGGTGGGGGTATCTGTGGGGATGGCTGCTCTTAAGGCCTGGATAGCACCTTGTCAGGATCACTTGGCTCAAGCACAATTCACTTGGTTCATGCACAGATGAGACCAGGTACAGGGAGTGGTATCTTTTAGGGCCTCATAGCTGGTTCATGGCAGTGCTGGGAGGAGAGCCAGGCTCCCTGCTTGGTGCCATTGGAGTTCATGTCTTGGAGTGGGTGGGGAGAATGAAGGGGAGTGGCACCTGGCTGGAGAGAGTACAGTGGCAAGTACTGAACCAGCTCACTTGCACTGGACACTTGACAGACCTCGATTTGGGTATGACTACTCTGAAGCAGTACAGATGTGCCCTGTTTCAAGGCCTGTTTCCCCGTCTGTAAAATGTAGAGCTGCCATTCCTAAATTGTGGGATGGTGCGTGGGTTACATGAAATCTGTGTGAACAAGTTAGCCTGTAGCTTGGGAAAAGAGTAAGCCTTCATAGCATTACATTTTCTGCTCAGGAACTCTTGCTGTTCTCCTTTAGACTCGGAGCTTCTTATCTACCCCTGACCAAGTTTCCTGATGCTTGGAGCTTTTCCCATCTGCCCAGATTTCTGCTCAGCAGTGGGACAGGTGTGGAGTAGCAAGAGGGAGCTGCCTTTTCTGAAGAGCTCACCCGCTGTGCACACCCCTCACTCATCCAGGACTTACAGTGCACCCCCTTTTTGCCAGGCGTGGTCTAGTTCAGGTGGATAATAGGTTACATGATTGACGTGACGTGGGCTCTGCCTTGTTCATGCCCACAATCTGTGAGGAAGAAAGACAGCTGAACAAACACACACAGTGCAGGCTGGTAAGGGAAACAGCTAGGTATAGGAGCCCATGGAGAGCGGCCTGGGGTCTCAGCTCACACGTCATTCAGAGGGCTCTTCCTGGAACACCCTCACTAAGAGAAACATACCTTCTCTTCATACAGATCGAAGAGCAAAGGTTCACAACTCAAATGATGGGCAAGGTGGGTGGGTGATAATTCCTTTATTTTCGTGTTTTTTTTTTTTTTTTAAGACAAAGTCTTTCTATGCAGTCCAGCCTGGCCTTGAACTCACTTTGTACCCCAGGCTGACCTCGAACTCAAAGTGATCCTCCTGCCTCAACCTCCCAAGTGCTGAGATTACAGGCGTGTGCCACCATGCCCGGCTACCCTTTCATTTTCTATTCTAGACATATTCAAGAAGTAATCAGATTTTCACCTACACTGTTTTCTGAGCCTTCTGATGCTGAGATTTTTCTCTTCACTTTTGAACAGTTTACAAGAGCTGGCCAGACATTTATGATTCCTCCTATTTTGGGAGGGTAGTGGTGAATAAATGAGGTTTCTCCACGGTCTAGAACCGTGGACATGAGACTAGTGGCCACTGTTCCTCATTTGCAACCATCACAATTCTGCCTTCTCATGTGGGGCACTGGCAAGGCAGGTAGGCTTTCTATGTCTCCAACAGAGGACTTAGAAAGTAGCCAGCATCCAGATAGTCCCATGACTTACAGCAAACTAAAGATAAAGAAATCCTGTTCTCTATCCTAGTTCCCATGTTACAAGGTAGATAAACATCCTTGTGTTTGTAGGTAGAAATGAACATACTTGGAAGACAGAAATATTGTAACAAGTAAAATACCACTAGAAAGTAAGCATCCTACTTGTTTAAAATTGCCCAAGAATCCCTGGGATACAAGTTTTAACTTTTCATTAATTAACACTGTAACAGCAATTTACATATATTGAGTACTTGCTCTGTGCCAGATACTGGTCTAGGTGCTTTCTATCCCTGTGAGGCAGATAAAATTAATCTCCTTTTTATAGTTGAAGCAAATGAGGCACAGATAGGAGAAGGTGGTGTGCACTGAGGGTTAGGTGCAGCTACTGAGAGGTTGGATCTGAACAGGGCCTCCTATACCCACCATTTTACTTGCTATTCAGATGCCTCTCACACAAGTATATTCATCTTGTTGGTGGAGTTACCCCACCTACCCCTTAATGTATGGCCTCTTCATCTTTGATTAATGGACTGTATAGCATCAGTTACGATTTCTCCATTTCAGTGCAGTCCAGATTAAGATGATTTTCTTCAAATGGTCTTGGTTTACCTTTGTTGTGTCTAAGAATGATTTTCCTGGTCCTGTTAAGTTTTGACTCAAATGACATACTCCCCCCTCCCACCGATCCAAGGGTGCCCTTTTTTAGATTGTCACAATTTTGTAGGTGGTAAAAGTTGAAACAGCAGAAACTGCAGTTACTGGATTGTGAAAGATCTCACAAAACAATTTAAAGAAATACAGATTTCATTCTGAAGCCCACTGGGAGATGGTAAAAGCCTTTAGACAGGGAAGTTCATTCAGGTAGATCACTATGACAACTTCCAAATGGAGAAAGGATTGAAAGTGGGGGGAACTAGAGGCCAAGGGCCAGTTAGGAAGCTTTTATAATAACTTAGCTTAGATATTGGTGGTTTGAGCCAGTGTAGATGGGAAAGCAATGAACAGAACCAATGGATGTGAGTACTGGATATGAAAGAGTGGTGGCTGTGGAGAATGGCTATTTTTTGGTTGGGGTAACAGGAAGGTTGTACTGGTACACAGAAAGAACGAAGGAGGGAGAAAAGCTATAGTGCCCAAAGCATTTAAGTTCAGACTGCAGCATGCTGAGCTTTCAGTAGTGTTTTGGCTTGTGTCTAGGTGTCTCCCTGAAAGCCTCATGTGCTCATAGGTGGGCTTTTTGGAGCAGGCTGGGTGTAGGGCCTATGATACTGGAATTAAGGGTGTGTGGTACTAAATTAGTTCACTGACTGGAATTAGCATAGTTGTGTGGTATCACCCAGAAGTTTGGATGGGATAAAAGGGAAAGGCAGGCTGGGTTTTTGCTGCAGCTTTTGCTGCCTCACTACTTCCTGCCCTCAGCCTGTCATGCCATAAACTGTTTCTCCTCTGCAGTACCCCTCTGCTGTGCTACCCTTCCTTGGTGCCAGCTGACTATGGACAGAAATCTTTACAAACTGTGAGCTGAAATAAATCTTTCCCTCCTTTAAATTTGGGTATCAGGTATTTTGTCTCAGCAATGAAAAAAGTAACTAAGATTTAAAATCCAGTGTATGAGGAAATAAGGGAAACCTGTGCTTAAGAGAAGGGCAGTAGTGGGGAAATGTGAAAAAGAAGCTGGGCTTGGGCAGGGTGTTCCCTGAACAGTCGGGGAAGTTGGGGCAGAGACTCCTCCTAGGAGGGCAGGGTAAGAGGGTCAAATGTTAAGGAGATCATGGGCAGCAGGAGGAGTAGGTGGTGTCTGTGGACTTTAGTGACTGTAAATTGTGAGTGACTGGCTGAGGGCAGCTTAGGTGGAGCACTGGAGGCCAGAGTTTACCAGTGACTAATAGGTGAGCAGTTAGTGACATTTCCGTTAAGACATTTGGTCTAAGTAAGAGGTAAGATGATGATAACTAGCTCCAAGGGCATACTGAAGTGAGGACAAACATATCCATGTCTACAGCTACTGCCACAGCTCTCCTTTTTGCTTTTAGGAGACTTGAACCTTAAACTTTAAGTGCTGAAGGGAAGGAGTGGAGAGAAAAGTAAAAATGGAGAGCATGCTTGAAGGGAATGGGCTCCGTGGCTTGTGGATGAAGATAGCTACCTTGACAGGGGAGCGACTTCAGCTTCTGCTGCACCAGACAGGAAGAAGCAGAGATGAGAAGGAAGGTGAGTGCGTGGGTGATGGAGGAAGGGTTCCTGCCAGGGGTGTCTGTTCTTTACAGTCAAGTAGGAAGTGAGGTACCTACTGCTGGTGGTGGGGCCAGTGCTGCAAAAGGTTGAAGTAGAGAACAGAAGGCTACATGTGGACTCTGGGGAAGATGAGGAAAGAAAGTGGCAAAGGAAACCAGAGAAAAATTGCTTGGGATATGAAGAACTGGTTGTGGCTGGAGGGCTCGGATTTGGACCCACAGTGAGTCTGTCATCAGCGGGACCTCTCTCTGTCATAATCAGCTGCCAGGGCATGGACATAGGGAAGGTGGACAGGTGGATCCTATTTTTAGGATCCTTAAAGTCTGAGCAGCTTTTGGCACCTGGAGAGGAACACACGCCACCACTTGTACTTTATTTATTATTGTTTAATTTATGTATTTCATAAACCTTCTTAAGCAATAACTGTTTAGGCATGTAAATACTATTTAAACAGACTAAAATCTACACATTTTACAAGTCAGATTATTCTAACACTGATTACAAATTTAATCAAATCCTCCTAAACATTTGAGTCGACTCATCAGTCTAATAAGCTTCTCTAAAAGATTCACACATTTCAGTAAATCAAAGATATAATTACAAAGGCCATGCACATCTTAAACTGCACTTAAGCCCATTATAAAAGTGGATGTGTAAACCGAAGAGATGGATACTATTTCACTTGAGAACAATTCTTGAATTTGGCTATCAAATCAATGCTAATGAAAATTTAGATTAATCAATGAATTCTTGTTTTGGACCTGAGAGGTGGAATTTTTTTTTTTTTTTTTCCGGTACTGGGAATTGAACTCACGACCTTGTGCATGCCAGGCAGTCGCTGTGCTCCTGAGCTAAATCCCCAGCCCTGGACTTGAGAAATGATTTGCTTTTTAAGATGATTAAAATGAGTCAATATACACCTGATATATCATAGCCAGTATATATCTGGTATAGGAATTTTCAAGCTGCACATTTTGCATGCATTTAGTGCACTGCACTGCATGCCTTTTCTCTACAAGGTGTCATCTGTAAGTTAAAGACTGTGATACACAGATTTATTAAAGATATCTCTGCCCTAATCCCTAGAACCTGTGAATATTTGTGTTACATGGCAAGAGGGACTTTGCAGATGCAAATTATGGACCTTAAAATGGGGAGATTATTCTGGATGTTGGGGCGGGCCCAATTTAACCATGTGACTCCTTAAACTCAGAGAACTTTCTCCACTTAAGTCAGAGGGATGTGGCAGAAAGGTAGACCTGAGGGACTCAAAATTTGAGAGGGACAGACTGCAACTGGTGCTTGGAAAGTAGAGGCGTCCAAGAATCTCAGTACTGCAGCAGTAAAGAACTGAATTCCAAATGAATTTGGAAGTGGATTCTTCCACCCTAGGAATGAAGGCAGCCTTGTCTACACCTTGCTTTTGACTTTGTAAAACCTTGAGCAGAGAATCCAGTCAGGCTCTGTAAGACTTCTGATCTGAAACTGACATCATAAAAAGGTGGTGCTTTAAGCCACTGAATTTGCTGTAATTTGTTACACAGCAACAGAAACCTAAGACAGCAACTTTTATTAACAAACTAATTACATTTAAAAAAAACCTTTAGTCATCTTCCCTAATATTCATTCTTTCTTGCTTACTTAATTTTAGCTTACTCTCAGCTGGACATGGCTGCAGGAATAAGGACTGTATTTCTTGTCCTATCTCCCTGGGTTGGTGTGGCCAAGTGTGACTAATGCTAGCCAATGAGATATAATCAGGAACATTGGGTGTACCTTTCAGAAAGCTTCGATAAAGCAAGCTTTCTTCCTTTCTTTCTCCTTGAAGATGTTAGGCTGATGTAATGGCTGGAGATCAAGAAGCCATTTGGGGTCATGAAATGGCATCTCAAAGATGATAGAACAGCAAGGAGACTTGGCTTTGATAATCCTAAAACTGCCACTCATCCTTGAACTCTTTATTTGCAGATTCTTTCACATGAGACAAAAATAATCTATTTTGTTTAAGCTACTGCTCCTGGCTACAGAAAAGTTACATGTATGATGTGGTAGTGGTGGTGTGTGTGTATTGCTGGTGCTTTAACTACGAGCCTCATGCATGGCAGGCAGTGCTGGGCAAGTGCTCTCCCCCGAGCTACACTCCCTGCTCTATTTTTAAAACCATAAATTTACACTGGTATTTCCAATTTAACTTGAACATTATTATTTTTATTTGACTGTAATATGTAACTTCACATATGTTTTCTTTACAGTATACCATACCTGCTTGTATCTGTAGCCCTTGGTTCAAGCTGCATCTGCTCTCTCTAGTGAGCCTCTGGTGTCTCATCCACTACTATTATCAGTTACTGTATTGATTGATGCATCCATACTTGACCAGTGGGACAGTGGACTAGGAGAGAGAATGTATGATATTGGCAGGTGAGCAGTTGAAGAGAGGAATCATAAAATTCCAGGTACTAAGAAGCTTAAGAAGGAGAACGTGACAGCACAGATCAGGAGAGAGGAGCCAGGTGTTGGGGACAGGCTGGAACAGGTTCAGGGAGGTGACTCAGTGAGACAGCTTGGTGAAGAAGCTGCAGTCAGAGTGTGAAGTGACTGAAATCCAGACATCAAAGGCGGAGCAGTTCCAGGAGGTGGCCAAGCAAAGGACACACGTATTCCATGGACCCTGTGTGACCTTCTAGCCCCACCTCCAGCTTTGTACACCAGCTCTCAGTTCTACTTGCAGCCAGAGTAAACACCCCCCACCCCAGCCAAGTCTCGGGAGGAAGGTGAGGGCAGAGTCCGTCTGGGATCTGGCACAAATGGACAGCCAACATCCTCCCTGATGGTATACACAAGAGTTTATCAAAATATACAGTGAATGCTTAAATTTAAAAGTATTATTGCAGTAAATCATGTGTATCCTATTGTCCTCCCTACGTTCTGAAGCAGTTCTGAAAGTCCGCGTTGATGGCTCTTTAGGAAATGTGATCAAAAGTACGGTGAAGGCTGCTATCTAGTGCTAGCCAAAGGGAAGGCAGGCTCATAAACTCACTGTAGTATGTTCTCATCCACCGTATTTATTGAATCTGGCTCTAGGCAACTTTAGCTCTTCTCAGAGTTAAAAAAATGACCATGAAAAATACATGTTTTGAATCAATTATTCAGGACATCAAAGTAGCCATGACAGTGCAACTAAAGCTATTCACCAAAGGATGCCCAGAACTGCTTCAGAAAGTGGCAAGAATGATGGGCTGTGTTTGAAGTTTGTGTGTGTGTGTGGTATTGTAAGGGAGACTAATAACAGTGTCTTTTACTGTAATAATTAAAAATGTTTATCATATTTTATGATCATACCTCACATGTAGAATATGCACCAGGTTCAGGCTAAGCATATGCCCCCTTCCTGCCTCACCAGCCGCAGGCTCTGGACTACTCTGTAGCCCTCCCCACACTTCTGCTTGAGGCTGAGCCTCCTGCCCCAACCATACGGTGGTGTGGGCTGAGATCCATAATGCTGGCGCTCCTCACAGGAAGGACCTGCAGGGTACTCTGAGGCTGATCCATCTGGGCCCCTGTGGGAGCCTGTCCACCTGTCCCCAAATAGCACTGAGCAGGAAGCTGTGGGGGGGAGCAGGAGAAGCAGAGAATGCAAAGCAATGCTGTGGGTCTCCCTCCCTGCTCAACCTTGCCCTGGGCCTAGGGCTGCAGCACAGAGATGCAGTGGGCGGCTGGAAGGGGACCTGTGCATGGGAGTAGGATGAGGAGGGCCAGGTCAAGGGATGCCTCTTTTCTTCTTCTCTTCTCTTCCCTTCTCTTCCCTTCTCTTCCCTTCTCTTCCCTTCTCTTCCCTTCTCTTCCCTTCTCTTCCCTTCTCTTCTCTTCTCTTCTCTTCTTTCTCTTCTCTTCTTTCTCCGTCTCCTCTCTTCTCTCTTCTCTTTTCTCTCTTCTCTCTTCTCTCTTGTTTTTGAGCTTGGCACAGGATTTCATGCAAGAAGGTGGGATACAGGCAACCTGCGGAGGTCTGTCTTGCCCCAGGGATGCTGTCTTGGGGGTGGGGAGGGTAGGTAGAGCAGTAGTTGGGGTGGACTTCTGGCTTTGAAAGGCCTTTGGGCCCTCAGAGTGGGAAGATGAGGAAGCCAGAGAAGCTCGAGTATTTCCAGCCACCCAGAAGATTCCCCCGACGCAGGCGCAGGGACACTCGGTCCCCAGGGTCCAGGGGAAGCAGCACAGAGCTGGTGGCTGCCTCCCGGGTCACATCAGGGTCATTGGCAAAGGCTGAGATGACAGGCCATGTGTTCAACATCAGGCTTACCTAGGGAGGGGAGCCCGGTTAGCACCCATTCACCATTAGGACCCTCACTTTCCCAGGGGCTTCCTCTTGGGAATCTGGGATGTAATGGACTCTCTTGGTGGGTTGAGGGGTGGCCAGGGTTTGGCTCTGCACATCCTCCACTCAGCTAGGCAGGGCCTTCCTCCCTTGCTCCTGGCCCCCAGGACACAGGTCAGTGGATGCACTGCCCAGGGCTCAGCTGGGCTCTGCTGATGCTCCCTCCCTTCCCTCGGGAGCTGGGGCCCGGCATTTTCATCACCTGGACGGTCTGTCGGTTGTACACCTTCACCACATGGAACCGGAAGCTGTAGACTCCTCGGACAGGGGCTACGAAGGAGCCTGAGGCCCGGTCAAAGCCACCACCCTCGTTCACCAGGACCTAGGGGAAGCAGAACCTGCTTGTGGGGCTGAGGGATGCCTGTAGCTCATCAGGGTAGCACTGGGCTTGGGGCAGGGGAAAAGTAAGGAAACGGAGGTGAACAGGAGTGTAGTATTCAAAAGATAAGGTGAGAAAGGGCAAGGTGTGTGTGTGTGTGTGTGTGCGCGTGTGCGCGCGCACCTTAAGGAAGAGAAATGATAAGTGGCCATCTTAGGGGAAAATGTTGGAGGGACAGCAAAGCGGGCTTGGATGGTGAATTCCAGGTCCCTAACTGGTCCCCTGAAGTGGAGCAGGGTGGTTACCTGGTCAAAGTAGATGGCCCCACCAGTGCCGTTGCCGGTCTCCCCTGCTGGCTCGTGGTGGTGGCTCCGGACGGCCGCAAATGCCACTCTTCCTGGGGGTGCTTCTCCCAGAGCTGCGCCCCCCGGGCCCCCTGCAGCAGCTCGGCCAGGCTCACAGACCACCAGGCATTCGCCCTCCAGCAGGACAGGCTCTGATCCCTCCTGGGCCCACCCAACCCTCACAGCTAGAAGCACCAGGGCCAAGGGCACGCCCAGGCTGTGTAGGAGACTTGGTAGCCCGGGTCGGTTTGCTCCCAACATGGCTGAGAGGCCCGCCACCCACAGGTACCCCTGCCTTCTGCCCTTTTCTGCTACTTCTGGTTCCCACTCTGCCCCCGGTTCTCACCACCCTTCACCCGGCTCCACTGCTCTGTCTCTGCGTCTCACTGGCACCTGGCCTCTGCACCTCCCTCTCCATACCTGAGTCCCGGCCCTGCCTCCCACTCAGCTACTCCCGCTGTCACTGCAGTCCCCTCCTCCTTGGCAGAGCATGAAGTGACAACAGTTGGGCTCTGGGAGAGAGAAACAGGATGAGGACTGGGTCGGAGCGCTCATCCAGAGCTGCGGGGACAGCAGAGCTCCAGGGCAGACCTTCTGCAGAGACAGTGCTGGAGCCCGTCCTGGCGCCACAGGGAACTGTGCATGGTGCGGTGTGTGTGTATTCACCCCGCAGCCCCTTCCTTCCTTCACACTGCTCTCGCTTCAGACTCCCTTACATCAACAGCTCTTCCCTGAGACAGCTCTCCATTTGTTGATAGAAAGGGGTGCCCTTGTGTTCCCCACAGTTGTTTTGGGGGAAAGTGCTCGGGCCAAGAGGGTCATTAACCTGTGACCCTGGGGCCAGTCCTTTTTCTCTCTTTGGTTTCCCACACTCTCATAGGAAGAGGTCAACGTTCAACAAGCGGCCCCTCCTTCCCGAGAAAAGACTGCGCAGAGCACCCAGAACTGCGGCCCCGGGACCAGCGCCCAGGGGCTCCAGGCGGGGGCGGGGCGGGGGGAGGGTGCAGCCGGGAGGCAGCCGAGCCCGGCGCAGGCCTTGCGGGGAGGAGCGGCGCTGACTCCGCCCCAGGCCAGGAAGTGACTCAAAACACAGTTTGAGATGTAAAGAGAGGTCCCCGTTGGGCGAGGATCCCGGAAAGGCCCGCCCAGATTCGGGCCCCTGCGCGTGTCCCCCGGGCCGGGGGCGCGGGCGAAGTTGGGCCCCGGGCCTCCTGCGGAGCCGGCAGCCCAGGCGGGTAGGCGCGCCCGTCCCCGCGCGGGGAGCGGGAGGCTGCGGTGGGCAGTGCGGCCCTGGCTGAGGCCTTGATCGGCTGTGGGCGGGACAGTCCCGGACCCTGGCCGGACTGGGGCGCCGGGGGTGCGCGGGAGGGGGGGCAGGGGCGTGGCTCTTGACTCGGTTGGGCAGACGGGCCCCGTTGGGCGGTTCACACCCTTGTGAGGATGCGTCTTGGAGAGGCCGTCTTGGACCCGAAGGTTGCGGAGTCCCCAGAGGAGAGGCCCTGTTCTCACCGGTCCACTCCTTGTAGTTTCCAGCCAGAGCTGGAGACCCCTACCCGTTTTTGCTCCTGGCTGTGGTCGTTTCCCCTACTATGACTTCCTCTTCGTGAGAAGAGGCCCTCGTTCGGATAATCTGACACCTTCCTTACCACCGGGATGGATTCCGATGCTTGTTACCTCCTGCAGTTGTTTACCAGACTGGTAACTAAGTGCGACCTGTTGATTGTTGGTATGGGCCGGGAGACAAGGAGTTGGGTTTTCCCCTTCCAGGGCTGGGGAAAGAAGCCATGCCTACTTTCGGGACTGGCCCCCCGATCCCCGACCGCTTTACGGTGTCTGCGGAAGCAGAGGACAAGGTCCGGGCGGAGCAGGCCCGTTTGGAGCGCGTCTTTCGCGTGGGCGTGTGCGTCCTCCCCAAGGACTGCCCGGAGAACCCGCACATCTGGCTGCAGCTGGACGGCTCCAAGGAGAACGTCAGCAGAGCCAAGGTGAACACTTCTCCCCAGTCCCTCCAGGGAGCCAGGAAGCCCTCCCCCACGGAGGCAGAGTCGGAGGAGGTGCCTGGGAGGATCTCCGATCCCTGGTTATCTCTCTGGCACTGACAACCTCAGTGCCCCTGAGCATTGAGGGACTTCCCCACTCTGTCTGGAGTTTTGGTTTCATTTCTGCTGTGACAGCCTAGGTTCCTTTGGAGATGAATCATTGTGTACTTTTTGGGAGGGCAGAGGTAACTAACGCCAAGAGCAAGTGGCCCTGCCAAGGAATTCACAGGGGGAGTGGGGAGGGGTAGAAGGTGGGAGGGTGGTGTCAAGCAAGGGTCCTAGTTTGACTCTGCCACCTGCCAGTCTTGAGATCCAGAGGTTTAGTTTCCTTATCTGCATTGCCCCAGCTGGATACTCCAGGTATCCTGGAGCTGGGGGCGCGGAGACAATGAACCGGAAGGGGATGGCTTCCAGCAGTTTCTTTTTCTGACCTTCCTCCAGGAATACCTGAAGGGTCTCTGCAGCCCGGAACTGCAGAATGAAATCCACTACCCACCCAGACTGCATTGCATCTTCCTGGGAGCCCAAGGCTTTTTCCTCGACTGCCTGGCGTGGAGCACATCAGCCCACTTGGTTCCTGGGGCCCCCGGTTCACTGAGGATCAGTGGGCTAACAGAGGCCTTTGTCATGGCTCAGAGTCGCATAGAGGAGCTGGTGGAGCGGCTGAGCTGGGACTTAGGGCCAGGGTTGTACTCCACCACTTCTCAGAATGCTGGAGTGCTGAGGGACTTCTCCGCCCTGCTGCAGCCCAGGGAGGATGCCCACACAGAGGCCCTGCTGCAGCTGCCCTTGGCTGTCCAGGAGGAGCTGCTGAGTCTGGTGCAGGAGGCATCCACAGGGCACGGGCCATTGGCACTCTCTTCATTGGAGCAGAGGATCCCAGGCCTGTTGGGTGCTCTGCACCAGGAAGTCAGAGCTCCTCTGAGTGAAGGCGGGGAATCTCTGGGTGCTGGATATGTAGGGCAGGGAGAGTCAAGGGGGGCAAGCGGAGTGAGTCATACTGTGGAGCAGAATAGAGGGAAACAGGGTGGCCCCAGGGAGGTGGATCTGGGGTGGAAGGAGCTGCTTGGGGAAGAGGCCTGGGAGAAAGAAGTAACTTTCAGGTCACAGCCAGCAGGTGGAGGGGTAGGGGAGATGGGGTACCTGAAAGGAATGACCTGCGGGATGGAGGGGGTGCCTCGAGGAAGAGGAGGATTTAGTGTCCAGGGTGAGCCTCCTGGTGCTCAGGGGCCCTGTCAGAGGGCAGCTCAGTCCCGGGGAGCCTCCCTCCTCCAGCGGCTTCATAACGGGGAAGCCTCACCTCCAAGAGTGCCTAGTCCCCCACCTGCACCTGAACCCCCCTGGCCCTGTGGAGACCGGGGAGACCTAGGAGACAGGGGAGACAAGCAGCAGGGTCGAGGTCGAGGATCTTCATGGAAACGAGGCACCCGTGGAGGCAACTTGGTGACTGGCACTCAGCGTTTTCAAGAGGCCCTACAGGATCCTTTTACCCTGTGCCTTGCCAATGTGCCTGGCCAGCCAGACCTCCGCCATATTGTCATCGATGGCAGCAATGTAGCCATGGTGTGAGTACCTGGTGGGGCTCAGAGTCCTGGGGATGAAGGATGAGACAGGTGCCTTTGTCTACCTTGGGGACATGTGCTGAGCGGCTGGCACAGCAGCCAGCCTGCCAGACCCATCCTCTGGGTCTCAAGTGCTGACCGTTTCCCACTGCAGGCATGGCCTCCAGCACTACTTCTCTAGCCGGGGCATTGCCATTGCTGTGCAATACTTCTGGGACCGTGGCCATCGTGACATAACTGTCTTTGTGCCTCAGTGGCGCTTCAGTAAGGATGGCAAGGTTAGAGGTGAGTTGGGTCTGGTTGTCCTTGTCCTAAGATAGACTCTGTTCCTACCTCGAGGACAGTCCTGTTCATGTTTCTTTTTTTTTTTTTTAATAGAGATTCACTTCCTGCAAAAGCTATACTCACTTAGCCTGCTTTCCCTCACTCCCTCACGAGTCATGGATGGCAAGAGGATCTCCTCCTATGATGACAGGTACTTGTTTCTCCCTTGGCCCCAGGTTTGATATTAAAGGAGCCCAGTGGGAGACTGAGGGAGAGAGAGACGCTTCTCACCTGTTGCTCGGTCTCTAACCTTCGGTGGTGGAAAGAGAGTTACTTTTTTAATCTGCCCTTAGGACTCCTTTGTCCTTCATCAAACTAAACTACAATGTATATATAGTCCCTTACTATTTAGAAAATACTGGCTTAATGGAAAAGTGGGAAAGCTGGTGACATGAATGGCTGACAGGTGCCTTCTTACAATCTAAATTTTCAAACATGTAGAGAAATTGCTGCAACATTATGGAAAAACCATAGTAAAATTCAAAGTAAGTAAAATGAAGAAACACAATCTATGAATCATAGGACTGTATGGAACATGGTTTATTTGAAAGATCACTGGATTTAGAACTGGAAGATGTCAATTTGAGCCTCAAATTATACTACTTTTGAGATTGTATGTAGGCCCATCTCCTAGTGAATTAACCCTAAGGCCCTCCTTTATTGATTTGCCCTCTTTGTGACTAACAGAAGAAGATAAAGTGTATGCTTGCCTCATACAAGGTGGTACATGAGAGTCCAGTGGTGTTGCCTCTTCACTTTGCATAGACCTAGTTAAGTGCTGCATGAAAACCTTACCTCTATTTTAGGTATATGGAGATAGAGGGTAAGAATAGTTAGCTACCTTGACAAAGAAAGCATAGACCTCACAGCTGCCAGATGGTTAAAAAAAAAAAAAAAAGGCATACTTTGGCCACAGTGTGCATGCAAGGTGTAGGAAATGTGCAGATTTTAAAGCTAATTAATCAATTAAAAATTTTATAATTACAATTCTTTATTCTTTAAGATGCTATTCAGGTTTTTCTTTCTTTCTTTCTTTTTTTTATTAAGAAGATATGAGTGTTTCTTTTTTTTTTTTTGTACCGGTAATCGAACTCAGGACCTTGCATTTGCCAGGCAGGTGCTTATGCTACTGAACTATATCCGCGGCCCTTACTATTCAGGTTTTTAAAAATTAGTTTTTAAACCATAGTGATAATATATCTTGTCTTCTCAAATACTTGACCGGTACCTCTTATAAGTAAATGGTATTCCACAAAAAGACAGTTCAATTTCTCCCAGTGCTACTTTGTTTTATGTCTAGATCTCACATTTTCCCTCAAGGTATGGAAACTTCTTTCCTTACCAGCAGAATTGAAACAATTGAAACTGAAGACTGAGACAGTTTCAATGATTTTTTTTTTTTTTTTTTCTTTTTTTTGTCTTTTTGAGGCAGGGTCTTGCTATGCAGTTCAGGCTGGCTTTGAGCTCACTTTGTAGTTCAGGATGGTCTCGAACTTGTGATGATCCTCCTGCCTCACCCTCCTGAGTGCTGGGATTACAGGTGTGTGCCGCCACGCCCGGCTAGTTTTAATGAATTTTAAAGAACGTGTCTGTGCAGTTGTGTAGAGGCAGGTGTGCAGATAACAAGATAAATTGGAAATTTTGCCTCGTAACAGTGATTAAGCACAGTGGAACACAGTGCAGGTTTACTGAGTGAACACTGTGGAACATACAGCATAATACAGTAGCAGTGAGACATGCTTAACTGGAACATGTTGTCTATATTCCATGTGTATACCTTATACATTTGTATGTTATCCCCTTAATTTGTTTCCCAGATGGAAACTGGAACCAGACATTTCTCACACCTAAGCCTGATCTCTAGCTCCCTTGATACCAGTGTCTCCCAAATACCACCTGCACATTTACTACTAGGTGCATGGTCTTCAGATGGAAAACAGAACAAGATCTGATTCTTGACTTCAAAGAGCCAAAAGAAACTATAAATCAAATACTACAGGAACTCAGAGGGAAGGGATCCCTCCTGTGACTTGGGTTTTGTGAATGGTTGGTTGAGAAGGGTGTGGGAAGGGCTGGGTCTCTTGGTTTCTAAAGCACTTAGAAGACCACTACTTAACTACTGCATGCATCCTTTCCTGTGGAATTAGAATTACCAAAGTAAAGGGTAGGCATGTATTTTTAAAAAGTACCCCTGGTGATTCTGTTCATCACCAAGTTTTGGGAACCAGTTTCTAGATGGAATAGTTTGAGAAACCTGAAGATAGCACAGGACATGTTTACAGAGTAGGATGTAATTTGATCATTGATTTTGGCTGGAGTTGAGTGTACATTAGGGAATACAGGGAAAGAAGGCTGTAAGGGTGGCTTGGAGCCAGATTCTAGAGGGCTGTAGCTGCCAGGTTGGGCATATGGACTTTACTTGGTAGGTGAATGGCAAATGTGGAGGAACTCTGTGTAGGGGAAGAGTGTGCTTTTTTGCTGGAGGTTGGGAGGGACTGCAGAGTGGCGAATGGTTAGAGGAGGGTGAATTCTTAAGAGGCAATGCAATAAGCAATTGTAATATCTGAATCACTCTGGTGGTAATTATGGGACTGGCAGGGAAGGAGCAGAGTGGAAGGCTTTTCACTCAGATACTGAATCTGAGTGGCAGGGTAGAGCAGAAGATGGAGTCAAGAGTTAGATCTTTTGCCCCTCAGGAATGAGGCACAAGTGTTGGGTGGAGGATTGTGAGCTGGTGAGATGCTACTGGAAGGCCACTTTGGATTCATCTGTCTTCTCTACTCCATGGCACTTGTATCCAGTTAGTCACCTGTAGCTGGGTCAAGGTGATGTGGAAGGCCACATCTCCATCATTAGAAGCAGGTCGCAGGATTCAGTAGCATTCTTTGCGGGTGGGGCTTTGGAGAAATGCAGAATGGTTGCTGTGGCTTTTGAGACAGGTTCATGTTGAAGTTGGCTGAAGAGACCAGTGGGATCATTGTCTCCAATGACCAGTTCCGGGACCTGGCGGAGGAGTCTGACAAGTGGATGGCAATCATCAGAGAGCGGTGAGGGAGCTCTCCCTTGAGAATAGGGCACGGATTCAGACCTTTCTCTAAAACCAGCTCTTCTCTGCCACTGGGTGAGAACTCTGGGAAGGGGCTTTAAGGTGCTTCAGGGGATGGTAGCCAGTAGCTTCTGGTGGCGTTGGTCTCAGCCTTCTAGGAGGTGAGCAAGGGCCCCTCCGTGACACTTTTTCTTTCCTTATCTAGCCTGCTGCCCTTCACCTTTGTGGGAAACCTCTTCATGGTCCCTGATGACCCACTCGGTCGAAATGGGCCCACTCTGGATGAGTTCCTGAAAAAGCCAGCCAGGTAATGCTCACTGTGCAGGAAACTCCTAGCCCTCCTCCCCTCTCTGCAGGCCTAGAGACCTAGTGGGAGTGTGACTTCAGTTTGGGCCAGCTTAAAGCTGCTGTAGTTTTGGGTGCATTGGACTTGGTCTTTAAAAATCTTCCCAGGGAAACCTGACGCAAACTTCTTGATTGGAATAAAAACTCCTGTTTCTTGTCTGTCCTAATCAGTGTGTTTGATGGAATTATTTGGAAGATGGTTGCTTGTACTCAGCCCGCCCTCTGCTGGATCACTAAGAGATTAATTTAGGACTCCGCATTTTAATAGCGGCAGGGTTCTCCAGACTCCAAGTGCCAGTCTCTTCAGAAGTGGGTCGACACTGCCGCTCTGTGGCCAGATTTGGCAACTTCAGGATTGTGCCCGAGTCAGGACAGGGGAGGGGCAACCATGAGAGGAGGCCCACTGAGGTCTATTTCCCTCCAGCATGTTCTTGAGCTCTTTCTGTTCTGCTTTGTCCCAGGAAACAGGTGTCTTCTAAGGCCCAGCATCCTTCCAAGGGCTTTGCAGGACATGGTAATCAGCAGCAGGGGAAGGAGGAAGAAAAAGGCAGCGGTGGCATTCGGAAGACCCGGGAGACAGAGCGGCTCCGGCGCCAGCTGTTGGAGGTGTTTTGGGGTCAGGATCACAAGGTGGATTTCATCCTGCAGCGGGAACCATACTGCAGGGACATTAACCAACTGTCTGAGGCCCTGCTGAGTCTCAACTTTTGAGGCTTACCTGCCTGTGTGACTGCTGCCCTGCTAGCTCCAGGCTCCCCCAGCCCAGCCCCTTCTGTGAGAGTCCGTGTGCTGCTGACTCTGGCAGAGTCACTCTGAGTTGGTTCTTTAGGCCAGGGAAGGACCCAGAAGAGCTTTCCAGTGAAGCGAAAGTTTTTGTCCGGTCAGTTTGAGGACACAAAGTGACCTAATCTCAAGTCAGAGCCCAACCAGCTCGCAAGAGGTTCTGCTCCTCCTTCACTTCCCAGTCTTGCCTCCCAATCTTGCTTTCTCTAGGGAAGGGGGCTGCTAGAAAAGGTAAGTCATGGAGACTGGGACCCTTGGCTGAGTCAGGGTGGAGGCAAGGGTAACCCAGGGCTGGCAAAAAATCCGAGCCTGTCCTCCCTCTGGCTGCTGCTCTGACTGGAGGACAGGCTGAAATTGCAGGCCGGGCTGTTTCCTGGGAGTGTCAGAAAGAATGCTGGGCTCTTGAGGGCCTGTAGTGTTAGGTAGGCTGAGTTGCAGCGAGCTGAGGAAGAAGGTGGAGGGTGACTGGCTTCCAGGCTCGGCTATGCCTGTCTGTGGCTTTGAGCTGCTTAGCCTTTATTTCTGTCTATAAATCAAGAGTGAAAGTCCCTGTCAGAGGGAGAAGTGGGAACATGGAGGAGAGCTTGGGGGAAAGGTGCTTGGACCAAGTCTCAGGTGACTGCCTGTGGCTGCACAGGCTAACCAAAATTTTGCTCTCAGACAGACGTGGGTCATTCATGTTCAGGTTTCAAGCCATAGATTTTAACACTGTCTTCAGAATGACATGCCAAATAATGGCTGCATGCCTTTTGGGCAACTCTCAGTACCACATTTATAAAATAGTAAAGTTAGGGATGACTGCATTATCAAAAATACTCTCAGGGTTCCTATAAATGGCAGCTCTCTTGTTGCATCAAGTATTTGTTTACAGATTAACAGATGTGTCAGGATGTCCCTGGTTTGGTCCTCTTGCTGAAGTATTGGGAATATTCACCAAATCCATGAAGCCATGCTCTACAATGGTGTTAATATGATCTGAGCTAACATTATCTTTACAAAGACACAGGTTGTATAAGTTGAGGCACTTCTGCTTTGTATGTGTGTACGTGTGCGCACGGGCATGCATGTACATGAAGATGGATTATAGAGGTATTATCTGGATGGAACCAGTTACCTGGAAAATGAAAACTGGAGTCAGAGTTGGAAGGTACCTGATTGGCCACCACACTAATTCCACTAACATACATGACATCCTGTCTCAGTGTTGATTCCTACAGGTCATTGCCTTGTATCTGCTTAAATTCCTCCCGTGCTAAGGAATTTACTACCTGCAAGGTAGCACATTGCTTACCGGGACAGTATTCACTGGTAGTCTTTCCTCTAATGTAGCCTAAAAGATGCTTTTCTGTTGCTTTTGAGGCTGGTCGTTCCTCCAGGCACAGAGGCAGTCAACTTCCTAGAGTCCTAGACCAGAGGAGAGGTAGGACAGGTGCCCCTGGGCTTTGCTGTGTTTGGGCCCTGCAGCACATCCCTGATGAAGATTCTTTTTAGGCTCTGACTTCTTCCCTGAACAGCAGGGAATCAAGCATGAGGAGCTGAACACTGAAGGAAGGTCCCCAGGTCCCAATGTCTTTGCCCTTCCACCTGCTGGTGCTTTACATCTCTAGTCGGTTTTGATGCAGGCTGGAGGTATGAGTGGTGGAGACTGGCTGGTCAGGGAGGTGACAGTGACTAAATCCATAGTGCCCTGGGAAGAAAGAGGACTGGAAAATACGGTCCAAATTAGTGGCTGATGAACTACTACTGGTGAAATTGTGGCAGACATCACACTTCATATAGATGAAAAGGGTCCCGGATGAATACCTGGCACTTATATTTTCCTGACAGGGTTGAATTTGTAGCCCATGATTGGTTCCCTGCCCTTTGCACTCTCTATGATGGTGGACGTACAATAGGTCAGAGCTATCATCTGCCTTTTTGTGCTAAGGATCCTGGGAGATGGAAGTGGCTCCAATCAGATGAAAGGCAAATCCTAGGTGTTGGATTTGTTCTGGTACAGCTTGATAAACTGGGACTAACATGTGATTGCATTTTAATTCACTGGCACTTGGTGACATAGACTGAAGGCTGACCTGTACTGGGACCACCTCTCTTCTGGTAGCATTCCTGATGGCATGCACTCTGAACAGATGTGCAGGGTGACTACAGAACTCACTGGAAATGGGTCATCATCTCTCCTGTCTTCTAATCTTTACCCTCATCATAACTTCATGCTCTATCTCTGTGATCAGCCCTTTTGGTAAAGAGGGACCAAGAAGGGAAAGGATGGAGAGCTGCTGCCTATTGTAACTTTAAAAACCCCATGCTGCGAAAAGAGTCATATAGAGCGACAATCCTTGAATAATTTCTAGGAGAATCTAGGCCAAAAAGATGAGCTGAAGCCAGCTAGGTAATTTATCTTTATTGCCAAAATTGCAGAGTACTCTACACAGCACAAAGGAGAACTGGGGCAACAATGGGACACAGAGAAACCAAACTTGGAAATTTTTTTACAGGGACTTGAAGAGGTCAAGGTCCCAGCTTGATGAGATGCAGCCTTGAGACTGGAGAATTTCTCAGTTAAATAAGGTGGGGCAACAGAACAACGGGGAGGAGAAGAAGGGGAGAGGAATCCCGAAGAACTAGATAGTTTCTGATCTCAAGTAGAGCACTACCTGAGGTGGTTCACAGTGTCTAACCAGGGAGCCTGTGGCAGGGGACAGGCCTGCCATGTGCTTCTCTACTTAGGCTACGACTTCCTTCAAGGCGGCCCCCAGCTCTGGGAAGGAATACTGGTAGCCAGTGGCCAATGTCCGCCGGGGGACCACCTTCTGGCCCTCCAGCAGCATGATGGCACGTTCTCGCCCAAAGACAGCTTGTACCACAGTGCTGGGGACAGGGATGACGGCTGGGCGGCCCAGGGCAGCACCCAAGGCTTGGGCAAACTCAGCATTGGTAGTGGTGGAGGCCGGAGCCACCCCGTTGAGGACCCCCTGCACGTGGTTTGCTTCAAGGGCATGGGTCAGGATTCCTGCCAGGTCCCTGATGTGAATCCAGGGAAAGAACTGGTGGCCTGAGCCGATGGGGCCGCCCAGGCCCAGCCGGAAGGGCAGCAGCATATGGCCGATGGCACCACCTCCAGGGCCCAGCACAACTCCTACAACAGGGAGGTGTGCGGTACAAGGAGGGCTCTCACTTGGAAGCTGTCTGAGTGCTCATTCCCCATAGTTGTCCCTTCTATTCTTTCTCCACATGGACTCTGCTTTGTACCAGAGTTGAAGATGGTGGCTCTCCTTGGGACTTCCCACCCTCCCCTCTGCAGGCTGTCCAGAAGCAATAGCATCCTCTCTCTGCAAGCTCAGCTCCCCAGATTCTACTCCCCACTCCCCATCCCAGAGAAGGCATTCCACCCTGTCAGGTACCAAGTTACTTGGTTCTCACCTGAGCGTACCACCACCTGGCGTGTAGCATCTCCAGGAAGCCTGGCTGCAGCTTCCCATCTGGTCACAAGGTTGGAGAAAAAATCAAAATCTCCTCCTGGGCTGTTCTCATCATACTCTGCTGTCAAGCTGGGCTGGTAGTACGCTGTCAGTGGAAGAGCACTTGTCTGCTCTAGTGTCTTGGGGATGTCTCCATGCATATCTCCCCCTTGAGCTGCTCTGTGACCTTACCTATTCCTTTTGTGAACCCCTTTCCTTTGGCTGCAGGCTACACCCAGAGGCTGCTAAAGTGTAGTGGTTAGAAACAGAAACCTGGGTGCCAGGCTGCTTGAGTTTTAATTTCAGCGCTGCCATTTCTTAGCTCTGTGACTTTCTCGGCAAGTTACTTAACTTCTCTGTGTGGAATCTGTGCATCTTTAAAATGGGAATAATAATAGTACCTACCTCATAGGGTTGTTGCGAGGATTAAATGATGTCATATGTATAAAACAGTTTGCGTATTTGCTTGTATGTACAATAGGTAACTAATTATTTGGTCCCAAAGACGACTAACAACAGTCAGGAACTCTGTTCCTAAAGGACTATGGTGCAATAAGCAAGGGACTTGGAAACAGGTAGGCTTTTTCCTGGGACTAGCCCCTCTTTGAGGGCCTCCACTTCTCTGGAAATACAGAGGTCAGGAGAAACACGCACGGGGTGAGGGTCTCCTAGTTACTGTGTCTGGAACAGATCAGCACTCAGGTGTATAAAGCTAAAAGCCCTGAGCGACCTCTCACTACGGCCCGTGAGGTGTAGGTGGTTTGGGGGCATACCTACACCTGTGACTACGACCCAGGCCTGAGGTGGTTGTGGGGCCCTGCTGATGGCTTTTGCCAGCATTTCGGTGGTCTCCAGGCGGCTGCTGAGAACCTCTTTTTGGAAGGCTTCATTCCACCTACAGGAAAAACAGGGAATAAAAGGTCATTACATACATGCACATGTGCCTTTATCCCTGGGGCCTACTCTATGCCAGTTTCTAGTAGAACTCGACACTGCAGAAAGACTATCTACGGCAGAAGGAAAAGCCGTATCTTTCTTGGGCATCCTGTTATTCCTGAAGACTTGAATCAACCGGGTCGGGGAGCAGGTGGGCGCGCGGGTGGGACGAGTAGCCCGGGGTAAAGGTTTAGCTCTCAGTCCCGCAGCTCCGTTATCCACAGCTCACAGGTCCTCATCGGAGTCGGCCGCCCTCCTCCCTCTGCTCTGGGGCTATCCGCTTTAGGGCCCCGGCTGACCTTCGGAGAGGGTTGAGGATGTTCTCTCCGGCCAGGTTGACCACGGCATCGCAGCTCGGCAGCTCCGATTTGGCGAGGTCCTCCTGCAGGAGAAAGCAGTCTCCACCGGTTCCGCCGGCCCCGCCCGCGCCGCCCCCCGCACTGCCCCCCGCCCCCCGAGGACGGCGTACCCACGTGATCCGAGCGGGCCCCGGCCGCCGGGACACCAGCGTCACCTCGTGGCCCCTAGCTTTCAGCAGCCCGGTTAGGGCTGTCCCAATGAAGCCCGTCCCACCACCTGAGCGGAGAATACAAACTCTTTAGACTCGGCGTGAGGAAGCGCTTCGCGTCCCGGCTGTGGGCCCCTCCTCTGGTGCCAGCCCGCCGGACGCGACTTCTCCCCGACTTCTCCTACCCTTCCCGGAGCACAGACGTGACACAAGTCACGGGAATTAGGGGGATTCAGCTTCTTGGCCGAGGCGGTCGACGCCAGTGCCCTTTGGCGAGGACTCCCTCCCTTCAATCCCTGGCTATGCCCGTCCCCGCCCCCTCCTCTTCTTTTCAGCCCTCCCTCACCCACTAGCACCCGCATAGCGATCGGGACCCAACGCGCCTGCGCAAAACTTAAAGCCCCACCTTTTCCATCTCCTCCGGTTACGACCTTCTGCGCATGCGTTTTTGGGGGACGCGCTCTTCTGTGAACCGAAACTGTAGACTCGAGAGTGGGCGTGGCCTTCCCTAGCGACCCGGAAGGGTTTATAAAGATTGGCTGTGACTGTCCTGCGGAGTCGAGGCATAAAGCGGGAGTAGGTGGAGTGGGCCCGCGCGGAAGCAGTTCTTCCAACGAAACACAGCAACAAAACCCTATACCTAAAATTCGAAGCTGTTGAAACCACAGAATTCTGGATGTGCGTTTGGTTTGGTGCGTCCGTAGCACTATGGATATCTTTCTGCTCTCCCTGTTTTATATTCTCTCTGCTCTGGCTTCTTCCTGTAGGCATTTAAACCTTCTGAAATTTCCGTCATCATAAAACAACTCCAGCTGATGTCCTCTTGTTCTTCACTCTCATAGCCAGACTTTTAAGTGTGGCTTCATTTTTCTGCTTCCAAATTCACCCCGTCTGGGTCCTACCTCTATTCCTCATGTCCCCTTTCTGAAAGAATACAGGTTTTCCAGGTGGCACCAAATCTAATACTTAGTTTTCTGTTTTTTTCTTGACCTCTTAGACTCACTGGGAATTTACCAATTCCTTCCTCCCTTTGGAAATACTCGTCTCTTGCCTCAGTGAAAGACGCTGACTTCTAGGCCTTTGTCTTTACTTCTTAGGGTCTCCATTCCTTGCTTTGCGTTGTTTAAATTCTTAAAATGTTGCTGTTCCTCAGAGGTAGGTCCTAGGACTTCTCTTCCTGCTCTGTACTTCTCTTCAGGCTTCTATGTTGTGAATTCAATTACTGTTTTTTACCCCCTCTTCCTTTTTTCCTGTAAACTCTGCAATTCCACACAGTTCAGTGGGGTTCTTTGCCTGGTCAAATTTGGCTCATCTGTTTTAATTCCTTGTAAAGTCCAGTTTTAGTTTATTGAGAACTCAGCCCCTTTGCTATCTGGTCACCTTCGATATCTGATTAGATTCCTTATCCTCCACCATCTTGTCCGGTCATCCTGGCTTGTCTTCAGCAAGAACCCTGTTAGGTTGATTTAACCAGAAACCCTTTTACCTCCTGATACTTCCCCAAAACTATAATGTTAAGCAAAAAGAAAGTCGGCAGATAGGTACTTGCAATATAATGTTTTCATTTAGAGATTAAAAACAAGCAAAGCAATGCTGTTTTACTGCAGGGATAAATAGAGTTATAGTGAAAGTAAAAAGAAATGCGTGGACATGTTGATGTGAAAACAATAACATGTACCCTTTTTTTTTGTTTTTGTTTTTCTCCGGTACCAGGAACCGAACTCACGACCTTGCACTTGCCAGGCAGGCACTTTGCCGCTGAGCTAAATCCCCAGCCCCTAATAACATTTACCCTTAGAGGTAGACTACTTACACGATCACGGAGGAGTACCTCAGAGACTTGAACTTCCGTTTTTTAGGCCAGGTGATAGGTACCTGGGTGTTCATTTTGTTTTTCTTTATATTTTTGTATGTCTGAAATATTTCATAGTCAATAAAAATATGTGGTGGGTTTAAAATTTATAGTCATTTTCAGATGTGCAGAAATATAACTTTGAGCAGGCCGTGGTGGTGCATGCTTGTAATTCCAACACTCAGGAGGCTGAGGCAGGAAATCACCATGAGTTTGAGGGCTGCATAGGGAGTTCAAGGTCAGCCTGAGCTACATAATAAGACCCTGAAATATAACTTTATTTTCCATACTTAAATACGACTTGCTCATAAACATCTCTTCTTGGTACTGGAATACATTTAAACTCACCCAACAAAGATAACTATCACTTCTAGTTTATTTATTTTTTTCTACTGGGAATCAAGCTCTGGGGCTTGCGCTTGCCAGGCAGGCGCTTATGCCGCTGAGCTATATCCCCGGCTCACTTCTAGTTTAAAACATCTCATATTCTCAGTTTTCTCTGAGTAAATTCTTATCCTTGTTCCTGTTCTTTCCTTCTGACTGCTGGACACCTGAGTGTGGTATGTTCTTTGGTCAGTTACTGTCATCTAGTCATCAGTGCCTGCTCAGAAGGCTGTCATCTCTTTTGGCTATGGGGTAGTGCCTGCTGAGATCAGCCAAGGCATAGATGGTCAAGTCAGGTCTATGGGCGTAGCGTTTTGGCCTCTGCTTTTGGTACCCACATTTCTTACCTTGTTGTCCTCTGCGGGAATAGAAATCCTGGTCTTGCTTTTGGGCCAACAGCATAGACTGTCAGGACCTTGATGGGTCTCATCTCAGGCTCCTCCCTCGACTGTGGGTTGTTCCTCATTGTCATTGTCATGGAATTTGCTGTGGTCTAGTACTTGGTTCTATGTTGCTATTAACAAATTATCTAAAAAACAGTGGTTTGAAACAACAGTAATATTTATTTTCCCACACAGTTTCTGTGGGTTGGGAATATGGGAATAACAGCTAGGTGGTTATGGTTCAGAGTCTCTCAAGAAGTCGTGGTCATGATGCCAGCCAAGGCTGCAGTCACCTGAAGACTTGATTGGGGCCAGCCAGAGGATCCTTTTCAGGAAGGTTTGCTTACATGCTATTGGCAGAAAACCTCTTTCCTTGCTGGTTGTTTCTTGCCATGTAGACTTCTGAATATGGTTACTTCAGTATCCTTATGACATGGCAGCTGACTGCCCAGAGTGACCCAAGACAGTGAGAATGAGGGGTAAGCCTCAAAGCCTTGAACAACTGACCCGGTCTCCACAGTTACGTACAGTACTTTTACCACAGTCCATTTATTAGAAGTGCGTCAGTAAGTCTGAGGGTAGGGGAATTTGGCTCCCGCTTTTGAAGGCAGGAATGTCAACTTGTGGGCACTTTAAAAAACCATCACAAGATCTATGTAGCAATTAAAGCTTCTCTGAGAGGCATCCAGTCTCTCAGCTATGCCTTGAAATTGTGGCACAATCTTTGTTCTTTTTCAGATGCCCTCTCAACTCCTCCATTTTTTTGGCCTTTCTGTTTACCTTCCTCGCCAAACTCCTTCTCAGAGAACCCAGGTAGCACTGATAATCTAGTTTTGTCCCTCTAATTCTCTTTACTATCAACCTGTAGTTTTAATATCAACCTGTACAGTGGGCAACTGCTGTAATATTGTACTGTTTTTCTTTCCTGTTTGCTGACTTAGGGAATTAATTTTATGCTCGTTTTTTCTCAGTATTTTCTCAATAAAACCTTGCTCTTGCATGTGAATCTCTACTTTCTAGACCACTATCTAGATAGGGAAAGAGGAGTTGACTTTGCTGGTAAAAGCTGAGATTTGTCTTATTTATTCCCTTACACTGCAGAGAGAAAAGGAAGTACTGGGAAGGGAAGATGTACTCAGTAGTACAGCAGACCTTACTGACTTCATTCATAGTTGTATGAAATGCTCATATAATGTCATGAGGAATCCACATCTTTCTTATTCTCAGCTTTTTTTTGGTAAATTGGCTTCATTTTCAGAAAGATTTCTCCCTTTAGAGGGAGGATGGATTCTTTGCTTTTATTTCCAGCACAGTGACTATGTCCCTTAATCCCAGCAAAATCTCAGAATTGACTGTTGTGGACTGGTTTGGGGCACATACCATCTGTGAACCAACCACTGTGGCAAAGTGAGAGTTCTGAATTTCCAGGCTTAGGTCATGTGTCTACTCCTCGGCTGGAGGGTCTCTACTTACTATTCTCCATTGTGGAAACCCGGATGGATCTCCAAGGGAGAAGGGACTCATCATCAATTCAACCACACACCCTAGTTATTGACAACCCTTTCCTTTCTGTCCTGGCTCTGTCTTCCTGTCAGTGAACTGTGGTGGTGCCAGCTAAGTGGGCAGGCTTCCACTAAATCAGACACCTCTTAGACCATTCATGGGGGTAGAGCTCCATTGGTATCGTTATGGAGGTGAGAGGGGAATCCTTGCAAGAGCTTTATGCTGAATACTTTTAGGGGACAAGGCTATGATCACCGAAACCACTGCTACCTCTTCAAGGAGGCTAATGGGGACAGGCTCTGCCTGAGTGCGTCAGTTTCCTCTCCAAACTCCTCAAAGTCTTTTATCTTCTGGATTCTGGGGATGGGTGGGTCAATTTTTCTCTTCCTGTTTAGTCTAACAACAAGTATTTTGGTTAAACTGTTTGCAGCTTTCACAGTCTCTCTGACACTTTGGCGTTTAAACTTTCAAGTTTGAGCCAGAGAGCAAGATAAGAGAAATTTCTATCAGTGTATCTGGCTGTAGGAGCAAGTGTAGCTTCTTTGCTCTGTGGAAAGGTGAAGATTCCTCCTTAGTCTGCGGCAGTCATAGGACTTTACTCACTGATGTGAGACCCTTTCTACCACAGCTGGTTCCTGAAACAGCAGAGGAACTGAGCACAGTCCCTGCGGCTAGGGGTGGTCAGACATCTCTGTGGAGCAGGTGGAAATCAAGACTCTGGAAGGCCTCCAGGTTGCACCTTTCAGCTTGGCCAGGGCACAGCAGGATGCAGGGTTGCTGCTACCTCTCCCCAGTGCCTCCTTTGTGTGAATTCCCCCTGCTTCATTTTTGTTTGGACAGGTTTCTGTGACTTCTCTCAGACTATGACATCTCCTTGCTGGATGCTGTTTACATTATCATCATTTCATATAGTTTCTGATGAGATTATGGTAGAACCAACCAGCCAAATACTAATTCTGGAAGAAAATGAGAACAGAGGATCCTGGGTTACCCCAATACCTTGCGTCTCCTTTTTATATTTTTATTTTATTTTCTTTTATTATGTGTTAGCAGGATATAATGATCACGTTCATTGTGGGGAGTTAGTGCATCCCCTTCCCCTCCCCTCCTCTTTCTGCATCCCTCACTCAGTCCACTTCCCCCATTTAAATTTTTTTGGTCCCCTTTTACAAAATTTTGTCTCCATGTTTCCTATGATCTGTCTTTTCTTTTGCTCTTTGATTTATACTTTGGGCTTCTAATATGAGAGAAAACACACAATACTTAAGCTTGTGTGTCTGATTTATTTCAGTTAACATTATGGTCTTGAGGTGCCTTCATTTTCCTACAAATGACTTAGGTTTATCCTTCTTTATAGCAGAGTAGTATTCCACTATGTATAAATACCACATTTTCTTTATCCATTTGTCTCAATTACTTTTTTTGTTGCTGAAACAAAATACCCAACAGACAAAGTTAAAGGGGGGAAGCTTTCCTTAGTTCACAGTTTGTAGAGATTTCAGTCCAGAGTCAACAGGCTCCAAGTCAGGGACAACCATTCATAATGATGGAAGACAGCAAAAACAACAAGGAGGAGAGATGGAAAGACAAGACTCTTGCCATCCCTTAAATTGTATGCAGGCTAGCCACCCTATGGTGGGTGTAGCACTCACACCCATAATCCCAGCACTGGATCATGAATCAATCACAAGCTCTAGATTCAGCCTCCTCCCAAAAGCCCACTCCCCATGATTGCATGAGGCTGTGGGGGGCATCTAGACACAGACCATAACGCTATTCAGCTATTCAGTGGACTGCAGCTCCACAGCACTCAAGTACAGATCCATGGGGCCGGCTTCCAGACTGTCTGGCACAGACAGTACCTGCTCTGGTTTATGCATCTGAGGAGGCAACTGGAAATGCAGTGGACAGCAGGGATCCTCAGAAAGGCTTACAGGAACTGCTTTGTTGCAGGGGACCTCTTCAAATCCCTGGCAGCATTTGAGGAGAACTTGATTCGTATCCTGACAAATATACCTAGAGTTTGGGTCCTTCATTTTCAGTCTAGTGCTGTCTCTGTTAACCAGTAAAGAGCTAACTGGTGGCCAAGGGCTGTCGAATTTTCCTGGGTAAGGCAGTGTCTGGTCATTGGAAGAGACTGATCAGAACAGTGAACACCATCCAGAGAGGCCAAGCACTTTGACTGGAATGAGTGATATGGGCCTACTGGGCAGCACCATCTGTAGTCAGCATTCTGCATTCCTTCAGTTGCCTATGTAGTAAAGCTTCCCCTCTATAGTGCTGGTGATATTGCCAGAGACATTTTAATTGCTCTAAGTTTTCTTCTTTGGCTAAAAGTCCCTCTGCGCCAGTCAGGAGACTGCTGCCTAGAGCTTCATGTTCCACTTTGCAGTTATATAGGAACCAGCGCTTCTTCTCCTTGAGCAGATGCTGAAGTCGTTTAAACTGATCAGTGTGCAAAGACTGCAAATGAATTAACTTCTCACGCATAATCAGGGCCACTTCTTCTGCTATGCAGACACCAGCATGTTTTAGGGAATCTTCTTGATCACTGTCTATGCTACCAGCTTCACTATAAGGGTCACCTCTCCATGTCTGATCCACAATAATGGGTTCCCAGTCCCCATCACTCCAGCTGTCTTCATCCAGTATTTGGCAGGCTTCACTACAGACACGTTCTGGAGTCTGAAATCCCAGCTCCATCTTAGCATAGGAACTCAGCTGGCACAACAGTGTTTTACCTATAGGCCCTGGGTTGGTCTTCTTCATTTGAGCATGAAGTGCTAGGGCATTCCTATGGGCATGTTCAGCACAGAAGGACACATCATCTTCCTTCTCTGGCTTTGGGGCGGCACAGGGACATCTTTTTCCATTCTTCATGGATATGTCACTACACTGCTTGAAGGGTGCATTCTTGTTTTTGAGGATATGCTTAATGCAGAACTCCTGTCCTTCCAGGTGAGGCTGAGCGCATGGGTGATGACTGAATGAACACGACAAGGGCTCCTGGCACCTGGGCACTGGTGTGATCCTCCCCAAGTTGGTTGACAAGATGGGAATCCAAATCCTGTTCATACCAAAACCCCTAGTATCTCGCTCCACCGTGCTGCCTTGCCCACATTTTCTTATATCATTCAGCAGTTTTGCAAACTGAGGAGTTTCCTAGGAAGAAAGATGTAGTTGATTCCTCTTCTCTATGGGTCAACCTTGACCAGTTCCATCCATAGGAAGTCTAATCAGAATCGGTATGGCATTTTTGCTGATGCTAGAGGGAAAGTCACTACACCACTGAGGTATCTCACTGAGGACTTGGTTAGAGAAGGAGACGATGAGGAAGAACAAAATGACAGTAGAATAGAAGAGGGTGACCAAAGCAAGAGAGGAGGGAGAAAACCCACAAGTGTTCACAAAATTTAGATTTGTTATAATTAAGAGGCAGCTCTGGGCTCAGGATCCAGTTTGAATCCCTGGGACACCAGGCTGAGGTTGTATCTAGTAGCATGGGTGTGGAATTTAGGGGTTCAGGATACTTGATGTGGATTGTGAGGAAAAAAATGATAACTAGGACATTTTATGGACCATTCATAAGACTCCATATCCGTGGAGATGCCAGAGTATTATTTCTTGGATGAAACGCTAATACGTGGATCAGAGACTTCAATGTTGAGATTTTTTTTTTTAATTTATTTTTATTTATTTTATTTTTTTATTTTAAGGATAAAAGGAGGGAAACATTAACAGACATACAACATTTTACAACATATCACAAG